ACTAGTCAGCGTTAGCTAGATGAGAAACACATAAAAAGTCTATGCATTAAACATATATTAGCTTCAAAAGGGGGGCCCGGGTCCCCTCAACCCAAATTTGCCTCTGATGATACTTAAACAATATATTGTTCAGCGAAGTATTGAATCAATGTTTACTGTATTTATTAGAGGTCATTTTTGTGAAAATAATTATATATATAACACTTTGTTGCTTCAAAAGAGCTTTTCTGGATTTACCTTCTAGACTAAGCATTTATTCATTTGATCTTATTTTTATTTTTATTTTCTTTTTAACATCTTGGAATTTTAAATAAAGACCAGTGTTAAAGGTTTTTATCATTTATGAATTCAGTCAAGGACAGAATAAAATACTCACATTTCTGTACTAGCTTTTTACTCGTTGAGTATTTGCATTCAGGCTTCCATGCACATAAGGACTGGACTTGTGGTATCATCTCCATGACACCGGAGCAATACAAAAAATAATATATAGAACAAAAACGTGGGAAATGAAAGACATCCGTAGAAGTGTATAAGACGAGGCAAATATTTTTTTCAATTCAATTTTAAAAATTAACTTTCTTTTGAACTGATCATTTGCAATAACTTCAAATACATTTATGAGAACTCAAATTTTCATTATACTAATATGTTAAAATGCCAGCTTCAATTGGTTAACACGAGGGTAATATTATACTCGAAACACATAGCTAAGATCCAGAGGGTTGCATTTTGATGAATGTTCAAATCAAAACTGGCAAAAAAATATCAATATTTTAAAAGACAATATTCATTTAACGGAACAATCAGTTTATGAGTATATGCCCATTAAACCTCATGACATGTTCTTGTATAAACCTCTGACCTTATTCTTTCTTTAACCTCTTATCACATTCTTCCCTAAACATCCGATCACATTCTTTCTTTACCGCTGAACATATTGATCCCTAAACCTTTTATCACATTCTTCCTGAACCTCTGATCATCTACTTCCTTAACCCTTACACCAAACCTATTGTATCCAAGATTTTCAACCACAAGAGGGTAATAGAAACCTTTACCCTCAAGGATGTAAAACCCAAATCTCCCAATTGCTCTTGTTCATCGTCCCCATGCAAACATAGTACCGCTGGTTACGTTATAACTGTAGACATTAGTATCGTAAACAATGAACAACTTAGAGAGTTGTTAGACAAATGCCCGAAATATCAAATTCCCCAAACTAACAACTTTATACGGATGTTTTGTGAAGTTTAGGTATGCAGTATAAAGATGGGATATTTCCAACGTTCTTTTTTATGTGAATTTCGAAGGAGAGAAAGACAGATTTGGGATTTTCTAAATCTCGTCAAGAATATTTTCTAAACATTTTTCTAAATTTCTTACCGTCATTCTTAGATAAAAATAAAGATGACCTTCAGAAATATCACGATGAGGTATATTCGACCAGTGATTTCAATCAGATTATAAAGATCTGCTATATAATCAAAAATCAAATTTAAAAATTTTGCAGTAATATAAAATTTTTAAATTTTCTATGCTTTACACAACTATTCCCTATGCTCAATTTAAAGTTCGAATACATCGTCTCATTAAACAGCTTTTTCTACAAATATGGGATTCGTAAATACAAGTTTCTTGTTTTAGGTCATGCAAAATCTGGAGATGATATCAACAAAAATCTGGACTTTCTTATCGTCAACATATATGTTGATTTGGTGGATTGATATTTCAACACACCGTCGGTATTCCAATGGGTACTAATTTTCAATATTATTGGAGTGTTTTCTCAAATAATCAGGAACGTGAGTACATGTGTTTAAAATAAAAATTATTCAAGCAGAACAAAATTTATAATCAATCATCCTGATTATTTATATTACTATACAAATTCGTAAGGTGCTTTGCGAAACTGCACATTATATCATCATATTTCAGAGAAATCTAATTGATAGTATATCATTGGTCTTTTTGCAGGCTGCATATGTTGCACAGTTGTAACGCTACGGGTGTCACTTGCAGGGAAATTTACATGAGTTCAACCCTTGATATCTGCACTATATTTGGTTTTAAGGATCTAAGATTCACGTTGTAACCACTAATTATCTTGAATCAATCATTTTAATTATTACAACTCTATGTATGTTCTTCAGAAAAAATTGTTAAAAAATTTCAAAACATTCACTCCGTGTTTTAACAAAAATGTCGGTAATGTGATAACATAAAAAAAAGTACGAAAGTCAAGATGAAGATATATATACCTGTCAAGTCTTACAATTTGGACCGATGATCCTATTCAGTCTGGTTATCTTTAAGGGGAAAAATAACGAATGCAACTATTTAAGTTGTAAGTATGTTACTGGTATATGATTATGTATAATGGATAGGATATGATATAAACTCATCATAGATACAAGGGTAAATTTTTTGTACGCAAGAAGCGCGTTTCGTCTACAAAAGACTCACCAGTGACGCATGAACAAAAAAGTTAAAAACACCAATTAAAGTACGGAAATGAAGAGCATTGACCCCAAAATGCCGAAAGATTTTGCCAAATACAGTTTAGGTAATCTTATTTCTAGGGTAGAACATCTTGGTATTTCAAAAAATTCAAAGTTTTGTTAACAGTTGATTTATGACCATAGCAATGACAATTCATGTCAACACAGAAATGCTGATTACTAGGATAGTGACACCCTCGGGGAGAAAGCTTCATCTGCAATGGCTTCGACTCAGCGGTTGTAAATAAACTCATCATAGATAACTTGAATTATTTAGAAAATACTAGCGTTTAATTACATTACATGTATGTTTCATTATAATGCGTTATTTTGATTGGCTAACAGTAATCTCGAGTTATTCTGAAATTACCCTTCATTTCAAAATGTTCAAAATGAAATGTAACATTCATGATGACACGAGCTTCCACAATAAAGTGCACAGGTAAATAAAAGAAAAACTTGATAGAAATCGTGTTTTCATGATCCTAGCAAAAAAATGTAACTATAAGTGTTGAATGCTTCTTTTAGTATTTTTATAGGGTTGTAAAAGCGTTGATCGTGTGCACATTTTCAGAATGAAGCGCGGAAATACAAAATGTACTTCGGTCAACGCTTTTACACCCTAATAAATTTACAAAAAGAATCATTCAATTCTTAATTGAATATATGTTTGTGTTGAAATGGACAGTGGAAGTCATTCTTCTAACCTTCCAGTGCGATCAAACTTCGTAACATACTACTGTCTAATTCGGGAAATAGAAAACGATAATATCGAAATCGTATGAAACGGTTACTTTGAAACATCACCAATGTAGGTACACAGGCGAGAAAGTAACAAACAGGATGAAATTATAAGTTATGCATTATTTACAGACCTATCTCTCTCTGGACGCCTTTTGCATTTTGTATACTTTTTATATGGCAGAGCATATGACAAATATTACGAATATCACATCTGTTCATGCCAAGAACTACAGTCAAACCTGTATATAAATGTCACCATTAGGGTCAGAGAAAATTGATCTTATAAGAGAGTGACCTGTTATTGAGGTTCAAAATGCATAGATATTACTTCAGCGGGACAAGAAATAGTGACCTGACAAGACAGGTTTTCGCTAAAGATGTGACCTTTAAGGCAGGTCGGACTGTATTTACAATGTATAACCTCCTTTCTCCCAATTTTCACAGTTCAAAACAAGAACTAATAATAGTTTTTTTTTATATTCTTGTAGGGTTACATAATATTGCAAACTTCGACAGTCTTCCAAACGCAACCCTGACGTTAAACAACATGCTTTGTGAGCAAATACTCGGAAGAAAGCTTGATTTCAATACAATATTAAAACCATAATGTCGACTGTATACACTTTAAAAAATAATGTATTGAATTATCTGAGAAATAACATCATTAGATTTACTGAAAAAAAAAATGTTTAAAGATCCAAGAATATTTAGAACAACTTTTGATTCTCTGAAATGCTTATTTACTTTTGATCCAGAGTTAACTTAATGAAAGTATATATATACAATATTAGGTCAATGTCAGAAAAATATAAACTTTTTTGTATGATGCCGAGAAACTGGGGAAGGGTGAGGTTTTGTCGAGCCCTTCCCCATTTTTGTGCCGAATACAAAAAAAGTTCATATTTTCTGACATTGACCTAATATTGTTTTTATAGTGCAACTTAAATGAATACATTGATAGCTATTTAAATTGTAACACACATTTTAAACTTATTTTCATCCCTTATTGAACCCCTGATTGTGGGAAAAATGATCCATGATGAAATTGACATTGCACAAAATATAGCTGTGTTACTATATTTAGGAAATAAACACAACTAGTTGTAGTATAAAAATAAATATGAGACGAGATGTATACGTCAATGAGATAGTTTCTCAACGACACAAATAGCAAAGGAATTCAATACGAAGTCTTCAACAATACATAAATGTCAATACAATATTCCATGATCCAAGTCACCCCGAATTCGAAAAAACTGTTATGAATACATTTAAAAGATATAGACAATAACTGTTTAGTGTCTTTAAATGTCAGCTGTATTTGTACGAGGCTATGAAACAGGTGTAATGCGAGCTTCAGCGAGTACAAATACAGCTGATATTTAAAGACATTAACAGTTATTGTCATTATCCTGCAATTAATTTTGTACATTTTTTCTACATCCCAATCGTTGAATTTGGTTTTGAAAGAAATCGACATGAATTAAAACGCGGACCGCAATGAGGACCCCAAATTGAACTGTGACGTAAACAGTATTTGACATAACCGTTCGCTCGCAACAGAAGCAGGATACCAGGAGACAATATACGTCTAGTATACGTATATCTGTACACCTGTATTAGTATAGTAGAAAGGTCGATTGCAGAATAAAATTAAAGATAGTATATTAAGATAATATATAAGTATTGTTGTTGAATCGAACGAAGGTTGATTATGTGCAATATCTCTAATTAAATCTCACACAAGTAACGAAATTCTGATAGATACCTTTTAATTCATAATAATCACATCACATGTATGTTTCAAACGAATCCGTACTTTCAATTGTCTGAAAGCAATTAGTGAAGCATTCCAAAATCAAATTGTATTCCAAATGGAATTCAACGTTCATAACTGCACGTGCTTCTCATGACAACGTCACTGCATTGCAGAGGAAAACAAATGAAAATCTTGATATAATTCGTAATTTCATATAATAAGAAGATGTGGTATAATTGCAAATGAGACAACTCTCCACTAGAGACCAAATGACATAGAAGTTCATAGTTGTAGCATATAAATGTAATTATAAGAATTGAAAGCTTCTTTTTGTAATTTTCTAGGATTGCTAAATCGTTGATCGTGTCAACATTTTTAGTATGAAGTGCTTCCACGCCACATACAAAATGTGCTTTGGTCAACGTTTTTACACTTCAATAAAATTACAAACAGAAACATTCAATTTTTAAATATAATTATTTATATTTTGTATGTAAATTAATCTTGAAATTATTTAGTCAACGTTCTGAAATCTGGTAAAAATTATAAGCTGATTATTTCAATTTTATGACGTTTTGGGCAGGAATCGTACCCCAAATAGTACTGCTAAATAACCATTTATTTAAAAAAAAATCTTTCCGAACATTGCGTTGGAATTAGGAATCCTACCCCAAATAGTACTGCTAAATAACCATTTATTTAAAAAAAAAAATCTTTCCGAACAGTTCGTTGGAATTATAAATTATAACGATCATACTATAAAGTTCGTCTCATTTAGTTAATCATGAGTAAATATGCCTAGTCTTATGTAGAGGAAACGTTTAACAGGTAGACAGGTAGACAGGTAGACGAAACGCGTCTGATGGACTAATTTTTTAGCAGGGTATCTTTGATGATGTTTTGCACTTCATTAAATTCCTTAAAATTACATTTATATCTATAAAAATAAAATGCAAAAAAATCATATAGTCCTTTAAACACGTACATTCATTAACAATTGATCAAACAAAACAATCATATTGACATTACAGTACATATGATAATAACAATATATAATGTAAAAGAATGAGACTCAAATTATGATAAATCAAAGAAAAAAATCTTTAATTTTATAATCTGTGATTGTTACATTGTTTTTACTATCTACTAGTATCTCCAGTTTATGTGCAGCCTGTATTTTAAAAATGCATGTACTATCATATATATATATTTATTTTGCTTTATAATGCATTCGTTATGAAATATCCCTTTTTGTAAGCCTTACATAAAAAAGTTCAACTATTTCTTTCTCTCGTGCAGATTATATCAGTATTTTTGAAAGGGGTGTAATTCAAGAAAAGTGATTATATTATATATAAAAAATGACGATTTTATTTAAACAAATTATATATTTTCCAATCAAAGGGGCGTAGTGTAGATGATCCTTGTTGTTTATTTATGATGCACTGACAGATCGTTAGACCCCCTCCCTTTCGTCTGCATTTAACTTAAAACCTACCACATTAGGCTGGAATTCATCAATCGCCCCCTTTCCAGATGGTACACTATAGAACCCTTTCTTTTTTTAAATCTCTGGATCTAACATTACGTTGTATGGCTTTTCGAGTTAAAAAGGTAAGCAATAAAGTTATTTGATGAATGCTAGCCATTTACATACATCTACAGATAATTTTAAAGTTGAATGTGGTTTTAATCACAGTAAAGCAAATTCAAATATCATTTAAACACACAACTTAATGGACATAAATCAGTCGTCGTCGGTTACACCACTTTTTGTCAACTGTTCATATACTCTGTCTAAATATTCTGGATCGGGATAGCCATATCTGAAATATTGAAGTAAACGCATTAGCAACTTTAATCAAAATGGCTTTTGTAAGTTTGCAACACGACAGCGCCACATATCGAGCAGATCTGCTTAGCCTTCCGTAGCACCTGCGATCACCCCCAGTTTATAGGTGCGTTTCTTGGTGCTCAGTCGTCAGTTTTTCTATGATGGGTTTGTATACTGTTTGTCTTTTCGTTGTTTTCCGGTTGTTTTTTTTTTTTTGGCGTGGCGTTGTCAGCTTGTCTTCGACTTATGAGGGAGCTACCATTTAATTTTTAGGGGGGGGGGGGGGGGTGGGGGGGCTAGGATGAAAAACTGTGTCCTGTCTTTTTTTTTTAGTTGTAATCTGTGTCCTGTCTTTTTTTTTAGTTGTAATCTCTGTCCTGCCTTTTTATTTTTCTCTCTATTCGGTCCTGCCTTTTTTTTTATTAGTTTATCCTGACTTTTTTTTCATAAATTGTCATCCTGCCTTTTTTTTCAAATTTGATTCTAGCCCCCCCCCCCCCCCCCCCCCCCCCCTAAAAATTCTGTCTCTCTTTTACATGTAGGGGGCCTCGGTGGCCAAGTGGTCTAAGTAGTTACTACTGTAATCACTAGCCAGTCAACACTGATGTTGTGAGTTCGAACCCCGCTCGTGCGGGTGCACTCGACTCCAATCTTAATTGACTAGGATTGTCAGTTTTCCTATCGGAGGTCGGTGGTTTTCTCCGGGCACTCCGGCTTCTTCCATCAATAAAAACTGGCCGCCACGAAATAGCCCAAAAGCGGTGCTTAAAAGTGGCGTTAAAACACCAAAAATCAAAATCAAATCTTTTACATGTAAATGCATTGGATGCTCTGATTAGGATTTTAGAACAAACCAAGATAGTATATTTATGTTTTTCTACTAATAATTGAGAAGAGTGTAGAAATATTAATAGAACACACCAAAATGGTCTAATGAAAAACGAGAAGGCTTTATTAAAGAAACAATTTACTGCATCCAGCGGTTATTGTATATGTAATCCTATTGAAACCACATGTTTGACAAATTCCGATCCCGAAAAAAACAGGGACGACGTCAGAGGGTGAACAGAACTTGCTCCTTGCAAGAAAATCGCCGTGAAAACAATTTGATATGAAGACAAGCTTTTGTTTCAACTTATTATTTTTTTTTTTGGAAGTTTCCAACATGAGGCATTTTCCTCATTTGCCTCAATGTAGTTACGGCACTGACAATAATCATTCCCTTGGTGAAGTATAGTTGAACCGAAAAACCTTTTCGAAAACAAAAGGTCCAACCAAAACCACTCGATGTAAAATTTTCACGAAAATGGTAGAAACATGATACCCACAGAATGGTACACATTATTTTGATTCTAAAATCAAAATATACGAAAAAACTTATAATGTGTGTTGCATCGAACAGTACCATGTTTTTTTATGCATATAACATATAGTGGTGTCGACTCTCTTGTTATTCATTGTTTATCGAGTACTTTTAATACGAAACAAATATTACTTCGTAGTAAAAAATGAAATGATTATTCCTGATTTGTTTTTAGCCCTCAGTTTATTTCAGTGTTAAACTTAATACGATATAATAATGCGTGGTAGGTCTGGCATACAAACGTTTATTTTTCTTCTAGTTCAGTACATAAAACATTATCCTTTTGACACCTACAAGATCTCCTAACTCTTTCGGAGCACCTTAGATTTAGATCACTCTCGCTTTTTGGTGAGGTTCGTGTTGCTCGATTATTAGTTTTCTGTATTGTGCAAAGTCCTTAATTTACCGTTTCAATGTAATGAAAGTTTCCTTTCACTATATAATCTTTTTACAGTAAATATGTTCATCTCATATCATCCAGTACACTTGACGTGTCAAACATAATAAAGAGACAAGAATGTAGATATTTTTCACGAAATTTTACGTTGATAGACACCTAAATATAACAACCTACGACAAACTGTGTGGTTCAATTTTTCCGTATTGTCAAATTCCTGTTATTGAATAGTAATATTCTACCTCTCCAGTCCTACGGAGTTTACGTGAGTCATTTGGTACGATTGAATTTCACGAATAAAAGGGTACTAGTATACTGTTAATTAATCAAGCAAAGATATGTGGACTGTATTATCACTTTACAAGCGATACTGTCATGATCACATTAATGTCGGTTTATTCAAGATTGTTTCAGTTTGTGGAATGTTCCTGGATTTGCCACTTGCTACGGAATCGCATGATGGGTGAGATGCACGTGTAGCCTGCCAGTGCACAATTGTGCACATGTTCTATGTCGGTTTGGAGTGCATTACCTTCCTATTGAAGTCTTTTTATACCTTTACTTATATTTTCACTGCTATAGGCATTTGGTTGCACTGAGGCTGAGTGTCGTATCTCAAATATATTACTGTTTGAAGGGGTAGATCTGAGTTAATGGAAGTACCTTTTTACATCAGGAATACGTTTGTAAAAGGAAGTTTAATTCATGCCTTCATAGAACACTCATGAAACAGAGATAAAGTTATCTGTCTTACTTATACTAAGAAGCTTATAATGTATTTATCAAAATGGTTGACACAGCTGTACCTATGTTTAAAGGGTTATGTTCCTCCCTCTATTTTTGTTATTAATATAGTTATAGTTAGTTTCCTACTCTGCAGGTAAAATATGAGCCAAAATCAACACCCTTTCCGTTTATATACTTCCTCTATTTTGATAATATCATACTAGTAGCTAGTTTCCTACTCTGCAGGTGAAGTATGAGCCAAAATCGACCTCTTTCCGTTTATATACCTCCTTTATTTTGATAATAATATAATTACAGTTAGTTTCCTACTCTGCAGGTGAAGTATGAGCCAAAATCGACCTCTTTCCGTTTATATACCTCCTTTATTTTGATAATAATATAATTACAGTTAGTTTCCTACTCTGCAGGTGAAGTATGAGCCAAAATCGACCTCTTTCCGTTTATATACCTCCTTTATTTTGATAATAATATAATTACAGTTAGTTGCCTACTCTACAGGTGGAATATGACATAATATCGAACCCCTTGCTTTTCGGAATATGCAGAGTATGTTTTACGTATATCATTAAATATTTACAAAAGGAACAACATAGATATATAAACGTATTACCTTTCTGGACCTCCATCGGCACGTGTTTTATGGTGGATATCGTTCCACGTTACGACATTATCTCGGCCTGAGGTAGCTGATTTCCCAACTGTAAAGATCAGCTGTTGGTCAAATGCTTTCATTAGCATTCTATGGATGAGTCTGCCTTGTTCATTATCAGGCAGGTATGCTGTTCGATGGGCTCCTTTAAACTTCACACCAGGGTTTGGATGTCTCTCCTTATATGAATACAAAATATAATTAAACATAGCTACGTTTATGAATTATTCATTTAATTAACAAATATACGGAAAATGTGTACTCAGTAAGTGAAAATATTTTAAAACCACAATGTATTAGTCACAAAAAAATAATCAAAGATACCAGTCTTATAATTTAGTACGCCCGACGTGTGTTTCATTTAATATCCTAACCATTGTGATTTATGTTAATTCTTTGCGATCTTACCGTCTTTCTATATAAACCAATGTGACACTTTTCATCTGTCAGATCTGTACTGACCTGTTCACTCAAACCTTTTTTTGTCGCCCCATGTGGTCTAACTTGACTGATGCGAATTTAAATGTCTTTCACCCATGAGATTTTCGTGTCGAGTCAAAAGATTTACCGTTACAAACCAATAACTTTCTGTGTCAATCCGACGTGATATTTTACTCTTGCTTTCACTTGTTTTGCTTGTGTAAACCCATATGATTTGTGTTCTTTAGTTTGTGTGTCGGCCCATGGAAATTTGCTCATCTTTCTGTATCCACCTATTTGAAATTAAGGTTCATCATAACAAATGAACAAATATGGCCGTATTTTCACCCCAAAAACTACTCTGTGTACAGACTTACCTGTGCAGTTTGGAAAGTTTTAAGGCCTGGCATCCACTAGATATATAAAAGTTAAATTTATTTTGCATATCAGAAAGATAAAATCTTTTTTGGATTATGATGGGCATTTTTTTCCGTTCCTGCAGAAAGTGTAAAAATAAACTAAGTTGGGATATAACTTTGAGATGCTCCCTCTCAGGTAACAACTGATTTGTATTGTATTGATTGTCCTTGATTGGCATGGACAAAAGATATCTACACATCTATAGGTGGTCCGAGTACACAGTTATTTCGTAGTGCATTTCTTTTAGACAATAAATGAAAATTAAAAAAATCCCACCTGCGCTTTCCCAATAATATTTTTACAGTGTGTTGTACTACTTTTGGGACAAATTATATCAAAATTATAGAAAACTTCATCGGCTCTAACTCAAAATATGGACAATTTCATGTTAAGGGGGTCTTCAAATCTTTTGACAGCTTCCGAAGTGCTAATTTTTAACCTTTTTCAGCTGGACCAAATCACTACTTTACTTTAAAATTCATGACCCAAATTTTTTTACAGTGTCATTTCACCCCCCTACTTACTATTTGAGTCATAAAACATGGAGAAATAAATTTTGAAGGGGTATAAAAAAAATCGACAAGTAACACACTGTCCACACTAGGGACTATATTCGTGGACAACGAAAATCAAAGGACGATAACTGTGTACCCGGACCTAATAGGGTAGAAAAAGTTGACCAATCTTAATGAAACTTGGTATGACCAAAGCTTATTAAATTATAAGACTGCTTACAAAGTTTCATGGCAATAGGATTTATATTATAGACAATATGACTAATTCTATATTCAACTTTGCGTGTTAAATTTAGACGTTAAAATTGAAAATTTTCAACTATCAACATTTGGGGCTTAAAAAATTAAAATATTGCCAAAAAATACTTTTGAAATGCCTTAATATATAATATATTATGTATTAAAAGCAATAGAGTACTCATTTGATTTATCAGACTTATCATAATTATTAAAAAGTCAAATTTATATGAGCCTGTGGCTAAAAATGGAGGTTTTCCAATGAAGGGGGGCCTTACATGAAGATGTAATATTTTCCAGCAATTTTAAATTTGTAAAGCTTTTTGGTTATAAATAATCCTTACATATGTATTTAATGTACTTTAAATGGAAAGAAAACTTACAAATAACATATCACATTAGTTTAAAAGGGTCTTAGGCCAAGTAAGACTGAAAATAATTTAGGGTCAATTTAGGCCGCATCACATATTTACATTTAAAAATGCATATTGAAGCTATAGGAAATAAAAATTTGTGTCTTTTCTATCATTTCTACACTCAGGTGACATGATACAATAAATCTGAGCACAAAAAGACTCTTGCATTCAACTTTTTTTGCAGACAGTATGGTCTGACACAAAGATTTTTCACTTTTTAGTGAAAAACATGCATGCAATTTTAGTCTCAACAGGCTTATATTTGAACCACTTGCTATCCTACAGAAGAAAAGAAAGATATTATGTGACATAAAACAGGTACAAAAGACATTGTTAAGTGCTTTTTATACAAATTTAGTGAGGTCTTTATACTGGACTTCAACTTTTATGTTCCAAGCTCCTCACATTTAACTTGATCCAAACAGGGCGTTAGACGAGGATCATATATACAACACATTTTGCACATATTGTCCGAGATAATCTTCTTTTCTGTAGATTCAGAGTTCACAAATGAGTAATACAACTGGATTGAAGCATAGAAACACAAATATTGACACATAAAAACCTGTCAAATAGAAAGTCAGAATGCCACTTATGCATCAAAATTGAAAAAGCTATGAAATGCTTATTTTGACCATAAAATGCCAAAATTGGTCATTTTTGCAGAAATTCTATCAAATAAAAGTTTAAATCCTTTAGTTTTATGCTATTTGATAAATTGACACCATCAAATCATTCAGGGAAGTTGCCAAAGTACAGATTCTATATTTCCTGATTTCACCTCTTAGGTCCGAGTACACAGTTATTTCGTAGTGCATTTCTTTTAGACAATAAATGAAAATTAAAAAAATCCCACCTGCGCTTTCCCAATAATATTTTTACAGTGTGTTGTACTACTTTTGGGACAAATTATATCAAAATTATAGAAAACTTCATCGGCTCTAACTCAAAATATGGACAATTTCATGTTAAGGGGGTCTTCAAATCTTTTGACAGCTTCCGAAGTGCTAATTTTTAACCTTTTTCAGCTGGACCAAATCACTACTTAACTTTAAAATTCATGACCCAAATTTTTTTACAGTGTCATTTCACCCCCCTACTTACTATTTGAGTCATAAAACATGGAGAAATAAATTTTGAAGGGGTATAAAAAAAATCGACAAGTAACACACTGTCCACACTAGGGACTATATTCGTGGACAACGAAAATCAAAGGACGATAACTGTGTACCCGGACCAGGTGAGTTAAAAGTAGTAACTGAGTGGAGAGTATCAAATGCAATTCAGGTGTTTGTTTATTTTTACACCTTCTGCAGGAAGGAAAAAAAATGCCCATCATATTCAAAAAAAGATTTTATCTTTCTGATATGCAAAATTAATTTAACTTTTATATATGTAGTGGATGCCAGGCCTTAAAACTTTCCAAACTGCACAGGTAAGTCTGTACACAGAGTAGTTTTTGAGGTGAAAATACGGCCATATTTGTCCATTTGTTATGATGAACCTTAATGGACCAACAACTGATTACCCTTCCGGAACACGGAGGTCACTCCTAGTGACTTGTTTAGTTCGTGATGCATCAAATATTTCCTCTGTATGATATTATTTGTCTTTTTGTCATTTCCCGTGTGTTCATGCGATTGTTTGTCATTTGTTAACTTATACCTAGTGATAAAGTTCGGGTCATCCCTTCGACAGTTTTAGGGACGCAATCACGAGTTGTCTGACTGTAATGAAATATCTGTGTCACAGATCATCACGGTATGTTCTAATTTCAATAACCACATACAGGTCCTCTTTTCCTCAATTATGACATCACCGAATGAGACTTGTCACCGAATTTGTGCTTACCATAAACAACACGATGGCTGCAAAACTTTTCCAAATTTTTTATCCTCAATGCTCTTCTACTTCGTACTTTATTTGGCCTTTTTAACCTTTTTTATTCGAGCGTCACTGATGAGTCTTTTGTAGACGAAACGCGCGTCTGGCGCAAATACAAAATTTCAATCCTGGTATCTATGATGAGTTTATTTGCAACATGTGGCGCAAGATTCTTTGATCTAGCCACAGCACCTGAGTTCACCCTCGTTATTTTTTTGGTGGGGTTTGTTTTGCTCACTCTTTATTTTCCTATGTAATGTTTTGTAGACTATAATTGGGTTTTTTTCCATGGCGTTGTTAGTTTCTCTTTGACTTATGAGTTTTGCATGTCCATTTGGTATATTTTGCCTCTTTTTCGTAATATGTTTGATATCTTCTTTTTTTAATTCAAGATCAATGTAAAAAATGTCAAAGATACAAAGACTTATAAATTCCTCGTTTTACTTTGCCGATAAACCATGGTGAATGTGCTTTGGAAAAAAGCATGACCTGCTCTAATAGAAGCAACTGTTTCGGTGAGTAATAAACGAGGAATGCAGACGGGGTTCTAGTTAAGGCAAAGGGACATAATCATCTTTATTGATATGTCACACATATAATCCACAATGGTAAAAGAGAGACGAAAGATACTAAACGAATAACTCATAAGTCGAAAACAAACTGACAATGTCATGGCAAACACTGAAAGACGACGAAAAGATAAACAACAGTCCACAAAACACAGCATAGAAAGAAAAACAGAACAACACGACACCCACCAAAAACCGAGGTCGATCTCAGACGATCCGGAAGGGTAGGCAGATCCTTCTCCAAATGTGACTCCCGTCGTGTTGCTCATGTAAGTACAAACCTGGTGATAAGTCTAATTCGGAAGGTAACATTCGAGGAAGAGGACCGGCTTGTAGTTATAGTAATTAGAAGATATCCGTCGTCATAACGGTCAACATATCATGTTGGTCTCTGTAAAATTTTCAGATACAAATAATTATTTTATGAAAATAATGAAAAAATACCGTCTGAACTCCGTCTGGAATGTCGTACTCAATTATGATAGTGTCAGTTCCAGGGAAACCAGGAAGGTACTGGTTCACAGTCCTGCATGACATGACACCCCAGGGCTGGTTACCAAGAGGTTTGCCATAAAATGTGTTACAGTTGGGACAGGAAGGTTTTACGTCTTCAAAATATTTTTTAATGCATTCGGAACAAAACTCGTGTCCACATTTTTCTAAAACCCGTTTGCCGGATACTTGTTTTCTCGACTGACAGATACTACAGAAGAATGCTTCTGTTGGTGGTGGAGATGGTGGAACTTCTGGGGTTTTATGCTTAGGTTTTCTCGGTCGTCTTATTTTGCGTTTTGATGGATAATTTGGGAAGTCCAACATCACTTCATCAACACTTGACTGTGATAGAGTTCTTTGCACTGGTCTCCCCTCCATAGAATATTCGTCTGCAACTTCATCAAATATTACAGATTTTGGACGTTTTGTACGCTTAATGGTTTCAAAGTCATCGTGTGTACCAGCGTAATATTTCCATATACTTTCCTTCTCGGGAAACTTGTCCACATTTTTTCTAAATTGAATTAATTCCTCACCACTGCTTTCAGATGACATTCTAAGAACATGTTCTCTCTGTGTATTGTTCGGATACTCATCCCATCTAGTGTTATCATCATTGTCATCATTATCGGAGACGTCATTTTCATCATATCCATTTAGGTCTTCCTCTGAGGGTCTAGCCATGTCGACTCCTATTAGAGTTTGAGGTGTTGCGTCACCACTATCTTCAGACTCGTCATTCGTCGTGTCAGTGAGTTCTTTCTGGGTAAATTCCTTAAAGTTCTGCAATGCATTCTCAAGAACTTCTTTCACGGGAAGGCTTGAAGCAAGGAAATGTATATGTGTGGTAGTGTCTGAATTTAGCCCCATCAACCAAAGAAAAACGTTGTTCATTATCTTTACGTGGGTTTCTATGTCCATACCTGCAAAATATAGGCTTTTCAATCACACAGACGATCCTTCCAATAATTTTGTCTATTGAAAACATATCATTCTATACAGGATTTGAAAGACACAGAATATAATCTCGATAACTATGTTGACGGGAACCGAAGGATATGCTTAACTAGTTACCTAAGTTGAAATACTTAACACTTGTGTTTGCTGTTTTGCTGTAGATAGTTTTCAAATTTCAATATGACGTGATTTGAATTCACTTATTTTCTTTAGCCGCCATGTTGGAGAGGAAACTGTGGTTTAATTCCTTATCTGAATAACCAAATCAAAACATGTGGTACAGAAAGTCTGAGAAGTCAAGAGATCCTCATTAGATCGTAGTGGTGGATTATATAAGGCCTAATCAAATTCAAATTGTTTAGAAAACAACTTTTTCTATGGTCTAGCGTTGAGTAAACTAAAAGGCATTTGATTAATTTCGAAATGACTCTTATAAAGGAGCATTGACCTCAAACATATCGACAAATGGAAATAATCCTCAAATTACGTAATACATGTCGTTTTAATTTTAGTTGAGTTTTCGTCTCTTTGACATATACAACCATGAATCTATTGTTTCCACATAATTCTGTATATCTGTGTCATGTTGCCACGGTCTTCGTGATGGCTTTATTTCAGCTTTAATCCGTAAACTTCTCATCTTTGATATATTTATCATAAATGTTTTGGTGGTATTCATTACAAGCATCGTACAGTTGCATTCAGATTTATGTTTGTTATTTTAAAACGTATTTAAAGGGGCATCAGCTACGATTTAGACAAAAAAATACGATTCTTTTTGTTTGAAGTATTAATAAACTTAAAGGCAGGATTTTGAAATAATATTTCGTTATAAGCAGTCAGTTTAAATTTGTCAAAATAAGCTCGAAAACATCGCTGATGTATCATTGACTTTCAAAATAATAATAAGAAAATGTGATATGATTGCTAATGAGACAGCTCTCCACAACAGACCAAATGACATAGAAGTTAACAACTTAAGCCTTCAAAAATGAGCAAAAACCCATACCGCATAGTCAGCTATAAAAAGCCCCGAAATGACAAATGAAAAACAATTTAAACGAGAAAACTATCGGCCTGATTTATGTACAATGGACGAAAAACAAATGTGATATACAGCAACAAACGACAACCACTGAATTACAGGCTCCTGCCTTGGCAATCAATAATTCAACCTCAATAATTCAACCTCGATAAAATCCGTATTCATGTGACCTTCAAATTAATATATAATTATATCAGTCTTCGAAGGTCATCACGATGGTTATTTAGATATCGTCTAAACTACAATACACACGAAATGCTGATACATATTATCGAGTCCATACTTTTTGTAATTTGGAAATACCTTTTAGTGTGTTATAAATCAAATATGAGAATTTGACCCAAATCGGTGAACATACATTTAACAGCTAATGCTTCTTTAACAATATTTGCTGACTATCTGGTATGTTTTAATGTCATTAAGAGCAAACTGGCAAATCGTATTTTCTTTACTGGTATGAGTTTAAAGTTATTCTTTTATTCAGATATGTGACTATCTTAACTAGATATAAACGTACCATCGCCCATTGGAATAGCTATGTTGCAAACTTTATCGTCCAATCCTTTCGCTCTCTCCAGCATATTTTGTACAATAAAACTAAACTGAACATCGGTCGTATCTTTTGCATCTCCGTCCCGCCAAACTGCAAATAGTAGATGGCGACACTGGATACCACCGGAAGGAACGCGAAATACATCTCCAACCTGACAGTTATTAGCTTTCTGCTGTTTTAGTTTGTCCCATTCAGAAACAAACTTGTTTTTTCCAATAGCTGCCAAAACTTTTATTATTTCATCATCCTGACTCCAACTGGTATCCACAAATACTACTAACGCATCAGTGGAGCTTGAGACTATTTCTTGGTTGATCTGTTCCACAAATATTTCCTTATGAACCTTGTCTGCTGTCGACGAAGTATTTCCCATAGTTAAATTTCAAAAGTTCTATAAAAGAAGCACGATCAAATTATGTTTTGTTTCTTATTGATATACCAAGCCCAGGTGTTTGGGTATACGATTATGAATTTATTTAATTATTTGCACTGAATATTCAACTTTTCATTTGTAATACAACATACTTAGCACTACAATGATTGTCTTACTTTTTTTTGGTGAATTTATCCACTTTGATGAATCCCTTATTTTACTGTCCATTATAAAAGCATGGATAGTAAACTAAGGTATTTTATAAGAGTGAATAGATTCGCCCCAAAACAAGGCGAGACAAGTAAAGTAGTGTTATAAGGATGTGGTATATAAATGGAAAATTGAATATTCAGTGGAAACAATGAAAAACATCAAATCGTGTAGACTACTCAAGCGCCTGTGATTGTAATACCTTTTTAAATATGATTCTAATTTAATATATATTCTGGGGATTTAGCCCCATCTCCTACAGGGTGAATACAGTTATACCACTGACGATGGGCTGCTAATATTTAAATACAGGTATGTTCATGTACACTCCAACAAAATTGGGGTACTTAGTTTTAAAGAACAAAGTCTTTTTTTAATTGTTAAGAGTAAGAGGGATGCCAATGCTTTAGACTTCATGAAATGTTGTTGGGATTCTTTCATATGCAGAGTTGAGCAAAAAATTGTCAACATGGGACATCAGGTTTAATGACCCCAGTCAGAGTGGACAAAATCAAATAAAACCAGTGTCATTCATAATTACAATGTCAAATAAAATATGTGTAACTTATAAAACATTTTCAACACATAATCATTAAACTAGCTAAGCAATTAAGAATAATATTAAATGAAATCAAATGTAGATAATATCAAACTTAAACAGAAATGTACAAAAAACAGAAGTAACAGGTGTACCCAAGAGTAAAAACAAAATCATTTTCAACTTGCTTCAAAATAAAAAGAGTGAAATATAATTTTTGTGTTACTATGCTCACATTTTTATTCCTACTTACATTTTTGGGTTCAGTTTACATAACACACACACACATATATATATATATAAATGAAGTGTAAAATGAATTTCATTTTGCAATTGAATTTGAAGATGAAGAGTAGAGTAAAATACAAGTCTATGATAAGTTTCTGTTAAATAGTATGATTATTGTAGTACATGTACACAATTTGTGCTTTAACTTGGCAAGAGTATCATCTTCAACATTTAATATGTAATACATATATTTATGTTTACTTATTATTGTGTTTGTTTCATGTGTATTATAATTTACATATATATGAATATGTATATATTCTTTTTTGATTTTATATGTCTTTGTAGCAACCCTTTTTCAGTTTTATACCAATACAATTATTTTCTGTTATACTATGTTACACATCAGGGAAGTTTAAATCTGTAATTCAAGTTACATGCTAGTGTTGTATTGGGTGTTAAACATAACATAATATTGAATTACAGTTTAAGAATACACTACATTGTACATGTATATTTTAAAAGAGTAGGTATTTGTAAGTTCATGCTAAAAAAAGACATGCAATCCAATATTCATATCATAATAAATTAAATTGCTATTCAGGATACATAATTTTAGGGATCATTTGATATACCTGACCCCTCCCTACCCCCACCTTAACCGTATAAAATGAAAATAAAAAGAATAAAACAAAATAAACAATTTACAATTTTTTTTTTCCACATTTAGATATATACAGGGAATATGCTTTAAACTAGTTATGTATTAATTTGTACACCCTTTATTGCAAGTGGCGTAAAAAGGGGGGTCTTTTCGGAAATAAATAAAGCAAATTAGAACAAATAAATAAAACAACAACATGCATGTAATTTGTATATCAACTGATAATGTTTTACTTACTTCAATATTGCTGAAATATAACATGAATGAGAAAAAGAAGGAAACGTAGTTATTTATAAATAAAATTTCCGCTTTCGATAATGCAATACCCACTTCTTTAGTCTATATTGTTTTTGCAAACAGGAAGAAGGAAATTTTTGCTTACTCAAAAAGAAGTGATGGGCTGTATTTTCGGAGGGGACTGCAAATTAATGTACCTGCAATACGTCTGTTTCTTTCACTTTTTGTAAAGTATTATTCTACTTTCGATTTCTGAGTCAATTTAGAATAAGTTCGGTCTCGGAATGAAAAAACGTTTCCGGGATTCAAATTATTTTACTTTCAAAACGGAAGCTCTTATGTTTTTGAAAAATATTTAAATATGTCCAAAGGGAACTTAAAAGGTGTTTTTTATATAATGATACATTTACATGTAGTAAATATTTTGTACTGACTAGACAGCTAGATATTCAGATTGCACAGCTTTTAATACCTTGCATTTGATTAAATAAAGCTAAATAAGAATGATCAGACACATATTATATTTTGTCTGGTGTCAATCAAATTCTTTAAAATACTAAGTATAAATCATTTCTACATCATTCATCTATAGTATTTGTATCTGTTATGATTCAAGTTTTGCAGTCATATTGTGTCAAATGCCCTTCCGCGGCCTTTAATTTGGTGAATAAAATTATTCTTTCTGATATTACTGGCAAATATTTGATATATTATTTACGGGAGTCGACGATTTTCAGGGCGAGGGATATCCTGGCCTGGTAAGAACTGGGGTGGGGGATTGGATATTCAGTGTCAAAATTATTATTCGTTCACATTTAATGCAGTAAACATTGTTTACTACGTGAAATGTATAAGCGGACCTAGTAACAGGTGAGAATGAATGAATATGCCGTCCGCCAAAAAAAAACTTTTTGCTCTCCCTCTTTAAAAAAAATCAACAACAACAAACATAAATGGTAGTCCCCTGTTTAGCTAAGACTAGACTAAGACTAACCATTTGGTCATATCATTATACATACAAATAAAATACAAACAAAAAAACACACGGATTTTAATAAGAAATCGGTAATATTGGAATTATATTAAATGCTGAATTTAAGAGTATGTCTAGAACTGTAAATGCATGTCGAATTTTGCGTGCAACTGCATTATCCGTAATGAAATCCGGAATACACCCATCTTTCTTTAATCCATTAACGTGCTCCAAAATAGTATTTCAGATGTGTTATCCAAAGGCATTGTTTGCTTGTGAGCTTTGGTATGGTCTATCAAGTACTGAATTACCAATGTTAGAACGTTCTCACAAATATATATGTAAAATTATTCAAGGACTTCCTGCACGAACACGATCCGACAAGTGCACAAGCCTACTTGGTTGGCTTCCTGTGGAGTGCTATATTGACAAGTGTAAGTTACAATTTTTTGGAAGATTATGTAGGATGGACAATAACTTGCTACCAAAACGTATACTATTACTGCGACTTTTAGAATTTAGAAACAAATGTGCTAAAAAGCAAGATGGTTTTGTACCAGATTTAATCAGAATAGCCGTGAAATATGATTTAATAAACTTTGTTGAAAATTTCATGAAATCAGGCAGCTTCCCAAGTAAGGCTGTATGGAACAGATACATTTCCGCTTCCATAGCGAATTCTGAAAATAACAGATGGCAACAAAGAATATCAGTTGACAGTGACTTTGAAATTTTCCGTACAATTCACAAACACATTGTACCACACAGAGTTTGGGTTATTGCTAAAACTAATTCTAATTTCAGAGAAGGAGCTGAATATATTGTTGACCTATGTTCCGTCATCCGAACAGAGCCTAGGAGTCTCCTCTCTTATGTGATAAATGTGGACAGCTTTTCTATAACGTTATTGAACATATCATGTGTATGTGCGATCGTCTATCAGACTTAAGGCTGAAGCTTTGGGAGGACTTAATAAGTATTAATCCGATTGTGTTATTTTTTTGTCTAGACAATCTAACGTCATCCTCTTTCACAGCAACACTTTTTTCATGTGATACGGAATTTGACCTGGATCATGATAACAGTATTTATTTCTCAAAAACTTGTATTACACATGTTCATCGAATGTGCAGCGTTTTTTATAACAGTTATTAAACTTACCTTCAGAAATATTATCATTTACTCAAAAGTGATATTCAACTGATTCAATCACTCTAATTAATATGTGACATTTAAATCATTCAATCACTCTAATGTCTCGATTAATATGTAAATATACTTTATTATTGTACAAAATTGTTAATACTTGCAAAATCTTCAATCAGAAGGAAATAAAGTTAATATATATATACATTATCAGGTTTCCTGCCAATTAATATCGTAAAATATCAACCGAGAGCCCGTAATTGGAGTTCGGTATTTTTGTTATACCCTTTAATGCTAACTTATGAATCCAAAATGGCGTCGGATCAATATATTACGGACTGGCTATATTACAGTGAATGTCATTTTGATATAAAATATATCTAGGGTATAGCGGCTATATTAGCTAATGCGATATTTAACGTAACCCAGGGTTCGTTCAACATCGCGGGCGCTATGTAGAGCTATATATACGTTTATTTGGACTCCTGAACGTACAGCTAGCATAACCGCTAAATAGATCTAGATAGCCAAAATAATTAATGCTGGGTTGCGTTCAATATCGTAGCGGCTACATAGGGCTACGTAGATTTATGACTATTGAACGTGTAGCTAGCCTAGCTGCTACATAGTTATTGATAGCAGGCTAGCTAGGCTAGCTAGCTACTCGTTCAGTAGACAAAAATCTACGTAGCACTACGTAGCCGCTACGATATTGAACGCAACCCTGTATACAGAGAATCCAAAATGGCGTCGTATTGATTATTACGATCGAAGCAATTGTTCTGGCTTAATGTAAAAAACACATCGTTCAACACCGATATCTATTGCATATCGGATGGGCTGGATGGGGTTTACAGAATATAGAATGGTGGCCAATACTACAGATAAATATGACCAGAAAATAAAGAATAGAGAACAATGGGGGGTTAAAATATAAGGAATAGGACATGATTGGCAAACAATATAAAAAATATAGAAAAATAATCTAAATGATTAAAGAATACAGAAATGAAATGAAGCCCCAACCCATCCCCCAACCTAACTCCACACCCCCATAATTTCTATATTAGATGCTGCAAAATTGAAAGCAACCCTGCTAACCTCACGTCAAATTCGTGATATGAGAATTACATAGCGACTCAGCAGGATGATGATATGTTGGTGTCAGACAACCAATTCACTCACTAAAGCATAAAAGTAGTAAAAAGACGTAAAAGTGGCCATTCGCTGACAAAAAATAGAGCTCTTGATGTCATTGTTTACTTAGGATAACAAGCAGAAATGAAACTTTTGGTGAAAGAGAAATATATGTAGACCTTTTGTGACAAAATTTACTTGTCCAAGATTTTGCATTAAAAATTGAAGATTGATGCGCTCCGTAGTATTCCTGAAAAGTTCCAGGGGTAATTTTTAGTAGCAGTTGACCCTGCAAGACTTTAAACATTTTTTGAAAATTGGCATATAGAAATGTGATAATTCAGAATATACCTGGTTTCTATGAAGCTAAGCTTAAGGTAAAATATTCAGAAGCTGTTAAAATTGACAAAATTGGTTGATTATATTGGTGGTCTGACACCATAGGCACACGGAAGAAAAATAATTTACATAATTAGTATGCATAAAACCTGATAATCGGTTTTTCTTTGATTAATTTACAGCATTTATAGACTCGGCACGATTTACTGCTTGACACATTCTTTAGATATTTGTCTCTTGTTACAGGCTGTATGTTTCCTCTGGATGTCTTTTGGTTGCTTTGCATAATCTTGTCTCGTCCTTTTTCTAAATGAACAGTTTTACTTTACTCATCCAGCATCTACACCTCCATTGAGATTAATACTGAAAGTTCAGGCGACATATTTGTTTTGTTTTTATAGTGATTGAGATTATATATATAACACATTGTTGACTGCTCAGCCACTATTTTTGACTTTTTTTATACCTATTATGTCTGTTTGTTTTGTTCACACATTGTTGTCAATATAATGGAATTTTATGCGACTGTCATACAAGGGAGAGGTTTAGCTAGCTATAAAACCAGGTTTAATCCACCATTTTGTACATAAGGAACTGCCTGTACCAAGTCAGGAATATGACAGTTGTTTTTCATTCTTTCATGTGTTTGAGCTTTTGATTTTGTCATTTGATAAGGGATTTCCCGTTTTGAATTTTCCTTGGACTTCGGTATTTTTGTTATTTTACATTTTGGATATGTTTTCTGCGCTAACCACTGTTTTGATGTTTTTACATATAAAAAGAAAATGTGGTATGATTGCCAATGAGACAACTCTCCACAAGAGACCAAATGACACAGAAATTAACAACTTATAGGTCATCGTAGTCTACTTATTGTTAAGGTTTAGACTGACTAAGAACTTGACAAATGATTTATCACTGCTGACTGTATATTGTGCTCTTAATATCCTGTGTGTTTTATTTCTAGGTTATCGAAAGGATTGGGTCAGGTCATATGGTCACCAGGGTTGCGTTCAATATCGTAGCAGCTAATACAGCCGCTATGTCCTAGATATCTATCTATGTTTAACGATATGATACGTAGCTAGGCTATCTAAATAACTTCATTATTAATTTAACCAATCCGACGCCATTTTGAATTCTCTAGATAGCATGAATGTGTTAAGCTATCTAGATCTATTTAGCGACTAAGCTAGCTAGCTATAAGTTGAACTGGGTTGCGTTCAATATCGTAGCGGCTATATAGGGCTATGTAGATTTATGACTATTGAACGTGTAGCTAGCCTAGCTGCTACATAGATATTGATAGCAGCTAGGCTAGCTACTCGTTCAGTAGACAAAAATCTACGTAGCACTACGTAGCCGCTATGATATTGAACGCAACCCTGTTCAGTAGTCAAACTCTACGTAGCCCTACGTAGCAGCTATGATATTGAACGCACCCCTGGACTGTTAATGTCCGACAGTCAAAGTCCTGCTGATTGGCATCTGTTTAGTTGTGTAGATGCAGATGTTTGAAAATGCATCCGTATCCTTTTGGATTGGGAACGTAAATCCGATGACTCGTGAAAGGGGGTGTTCCCTGTTTCTGCACGTGAAAGAGTCATTACTAAAACTCTATTATGGGTATGAGGTAACCATCTGGAAAGCCAAATTTCTACCTCTATCCAGCATACTATCTATTTCAACTGACAGTCCAAATGTCACGCCCGTCATCCCGCTCGGATCCACTTCGCAGACCCTATCGTTCTTGAATACACGTAAAATATATGTTTCCATTGTACATTAAGCAAACAACAATCAATCAATAATACAATATTAGCAGAATGTAAAGTAGATTTTCGAATGGGCGGGTCCAAAGTTCGATGAAAGTGGTCGTTATTGTCCGTAATAGTGAAATGATTTGTGAACGTGGCGAGGCGAAATTATATTTATGATTTTATGCCCCAAAATTGTATTTCCGATCTTAAATGGAGGCGTATCTCAAAACTATATATAGTTTTTCTGTTTCATATACACCGCGTTCTCAAATACCATTGAACGATTATTGTGGAATCAGAGATCAGCACGTGTATGTGTCCGCTTCGCTACTTTTCTACAGGTAAATTGAAGGTAGGGAATTTCTTTTGTCAACAATTGTTTGAAAGATGATTGTGCAGGATTGGTAACGTATTAGTACAAGTTGCATTTTGCCCTACCCTGGGTCTCTGACACACTCAGACTCTAGCCGACCAAGATATTCGTACCGTGACAACAAATGACTTGTAGACTACAATATTTTAACAGATGATTAACTTTCAATGATATATTTAAAATGCTTATATATATATATGAAACATTCTATTGTAAATTGATATGCATTAATAAAGTCTTTAAATCTGAATAGGAAATGATATAATATTTATATGTGGGAAATATTAAAATTAAAGCAAACGTGAACGTGAACCATTTAATGGCAAATACAAGCACTTTTGGAGAAAGAAACTACTATTATGCAGTAGTCAAAAGTTAGAAAAATGTCCCAAAACAAAAAAAGTTCGGCCATAAAGTGGGCCCCTCGGAACCTCCCATGGAACTAGAAGTTAAGTCAATGGTATCACAACTTTTAGAATTAATGTAAAACTACCTAATCTTAACACAAACAAAAAAAATCATAAAAAGACACGGCGCGTTACGTTTGCGCGAAAAACGCATTACGTTTGCGCGAAATTTACTGGTTGAAAAGTTACTATATACGTTTGAGATAATTAATTAATTTTTTTAATGAAAAAGATAAAAAAAATCGTCAACTGAAATAGAAAAGTGGTTTAAACACGGCTAGATTTGTGATTGCAAGTTCTTCAAGCGGAGAAAGTTTAGGTCAGTTTTGTAGATGATTGAATGTCAAATGCTACTGAGAATGAAAGCCGCAAACTGTTTGCCAAATACTTAGCTGAGTCTATAATACCACCAAGAATGTGAACGACTGTTCCAAATGAAAGCACAAAACGTTCCAACAATGGCCCAGAGTAGTAGTAGTAAGGACGTGTCATCTTGAATGGTTTACGATAAAGACACGTATGCGCGTATCAGTAAGGCGACAATCCCGTCAGTAATTTCTTATGTATTAAATATAATCAATGTTTTCGATGTGAGTACTGGGTGTTGATAGCAAATGATTGTTTCTGTTTAATTTATTCACATTTTTTTAAATCTGGGACGATTTTGAGAAGCTGACATTGTTTAGTACTCTATAGAATTGAGAATGAAAACGGGGAATGTGTAAAAGAGACATCAACCCGACCAAAGAGCAGAAAACAGCCCAAGGCTACCAATGGGTCTTCAGCGCAGCTAGAAAATCACACAACCGGGCTTCAGCTGGTCCCTAAACAATTATGTTAACTAGTTCAGCGAAATGGACGCCACACGCAACTCCGAAAAATATACATGAACCAAAATTTGAAAAACATACAAGACTAACAAAGGCTACGGATTCCTGACTTGGGACAGGCGAAAAAATGCGGCGGGGTTAAACATGTTTTGAGAGATTTCAACCCTCCCCCTATACCTCTAGCCAATGTGGAATAAACAAACACATAGCAATACGCACAGTAAAACTAAATAATTAGAAGTCCGAGTCCGATGTTAGAATAGGCAACAGAAGAAGCTAATCAAAATGACAATTATCAGCATAAATTAACAAAGGACTACTTACAGTTAATGACATGCCAGCTTCAGACCTCAATCTAACAGGTCGAAAGATTACGTCTTCATCATATGAAAATAAAACACAATCCCTCCCGTTAGGGGTCTAGTATCATGCCATCATAAATTATGCGAGAAGAACATAACCCGATTCATGCCAACAACTGGTTTTAGGGAATAAATGTGTTTATTTCCGATGCAAAGACCCTATGAGTGAATCAATATTAGTTCCAAAGAAATGCCATCTTTAATGACTACATTTTTAACAGTATTGTAACTATATCCCTTGTGAATAAGTCTGTTTAAATGTTTGGATAGCTTTTGAGGTAAATGGCGATATTTGTATGTTTTGTTTCGAATATTACCATAAGATATAGGATGTGATATACTTGAGCGTAAAAAACGCTACACGTTGATTCGTTTATATTTACGAACGATGTCCTTGTACCGATGATGAAATTAAGTAAAAGTTTTGACAATTTGTGATATCGAAAATCCTGTTGTTATAATTGTTCAGTTACACATAGATTTGTTTCGTTAAAATCACACACGTTGTCACATTCACGAGCGAATCTGCGATCAAGTTGGGATATATAATCACCATATGATGGTGCCAAGGGAACGTCATCATCTTAGAACGGATAATAAATAATAGGAAATGAAAAATCATCTCTTTTATCGTAAATTTTAGTGTTAAGCTTCCCGTTAAAGATATAAATATCATCTAGGAAAGGGCAGTGTTCATTGTTATTATTAGCTTTATTCAAAGTAAGTTCAACAACATAAATCTCTGTAGATTACATACAGAAGTATTAGATGTTGTTTCGATGGGTCTTTGCTGGATTAGTTGAAGACAGAGACGTATATATATATATAGTTACTAAATATGTCTCTGTTGAAGACTTTGATGCTACCAGATATTTTGTTACATTTATATGTCGTTGGGTTGTTTCATCATTGATGTTTATCTCACCCACAATTAATAAGAAAAGCGTATAATTGACAATCTAGCATTTAAAATCATGCATAAATTCAGCATTCGATGGTGATCGCTTATTAATGATTTATTGCTTGTCTATAAATATCAAAGTTTTATCACGATTTTCTCTTTAGGTCGGATTATTAATATTAAACCTTATAAAAAAAATGTTTTCGTACAGAAATTATATATATTTCAACATTGATCAAAAGTAACCGACCACTGATTTATAATTTTAGAATATGAGCCATTTTACTTGGGACTATATGCTAATCATAAATATATTGGTCCCAAACTTTAATTAGAGATCATGAAGAATCTGATGATTGAAGTTCATTGGCGGATACAGGGGGTAGTTCCAGGTGTTGGACCCCCGGCCCCCTTTGCGATTTTTGTCAAAATAGCATGATCTGCGCCTGAAGTCCAAAAAATTTAACTGTAAATTAACTGTGATATACTATTCCCAGAAAGAAAAAAACAATTAGAAATGATATATAAGCAAAGCCAGAACAAAGATGAGTAAAAGGAATAAAAGGGTAAAAATATACAAGGCGCTCACTGTAGAATCAAATGTGGACCATATATCTTATTGTTGTCTTAAAATCCAAAGCACATATTTTAAGAGTGAATGAATTAAAATAGTATTGTAATCTCAGGTTAGTCCCAGTTTATTTAGTTAGCATTTTAATTTATTGATTTATCAAATCATTCATTCATTCATTTAATTTTTTGTTCGATTGATTGCTTGTTTTCTTTATTCAATTGTGTGTTATGTTTTATTTGATATTTCATTTTCAGGTTTTAGGCAAATCTGTTGTCGGGTTTTAAAGGACTAATTTAGGTGTAATCTTGTCAAGAATAAACTTCCGGTTGAAAACAAACGAAAATTCGCCACGTTAGTTTCTTGACATATGTTCTATGCTATGTCTGTAGAGATTATTTCAAGAAAAAGTTATTGTGAAGCATTTTAAAGAACTGAAAATAATTAATGATGAAATAAGGTATGCAGTAATTACACAATTTTATACATGTTATATAGTATACGGTGGTCTTTTCACAAGCGTATAATTTTTACAAAAAAAGGTAAATGCATCAACAGTCTGCGACAAAAAAACTGTTATACATACTTGTCCTAAAATTTATTTCAAGAAATGCCTAATATAATTTTTACCAGTTTTTCGATAATTTTCAATAGCCCAAACCAATTTTTACTAGGCTTGTATGCTTTAGGGCTAATTTTGTTTTTGGAACAGACCGCATAAAAAACCTGCACTTAATAGTAATCAAAGAACTTGCAGTAAATAGCTTTCCAAAGACAGTAAGTAAGCTTTATTGTTTCCATATCCTTACAAAAAATCTTTACTACAGGACCTTCCTTACTAGTGCATCAATGTCCTAAATGCTGCCCTTTGACATCTAAGAGTAATGTTTTGGTCAAGAGTTCCATATGGCATCCGCATCATACTAAATGAACAATCACATATTGCAGTTTTTTCTATGAGGGATGCCATATGGAACTCTTTCCTCAGACACAAGCTATTTAAAGGAAGTTGTTTCCTTGTATAATGTGATCAAAATTTATATTGTCAATTATGAAGAAATATTGAAAAGGCTTAATTTAAAAAAAAAACTTTATAAGAAGATGTGGTACTATTGCCAATGAGCAACTACATGTATCCACCAGGATTAAATGATGAAGATGTAACCAATTTCAAACTAGATATGAGGCAGGTGCTTGATTAGCCCCCAAAGGTTACTTTTCAGCATGTTCAGTAATCTGATATACAAATCTGTTGGAAGTAGGATGTCTTACGAAAAACCTTGAAAAGGAACAAAAACAGGAAAGGGTTTCATTGACTGCCGTGTTGTTAAAGGTCTTTCATTTCGATAGTGTTCTGACCCTTCTACCATATATACATATGCTGCCTTCAGGAGCATATAATGGTAAGTTACATTTTTGTAGGCTAAACAAAATCATATTATGGTTTCCTGTCTCCTAGTCCTTGCAGAAAAAGGGTACATGTAGGTTGGTACATGTACATATAGGTAACAAAAATATGCCATACATGTAATCAACATAAATAGAATGTACATGTATTGCTTACAAAAAATTGGTACTGTGGTTGCAACATTTTTTAGGGTCGGTCTTTTCACCACCGAACACCCAAAAAGACCACTAACCCTTAAGAAAAACAGTAATGTTACACAATAAAACAATAAAATCGATTAAATTACGTAAAATTTAATCCTATTGTCCTTTTTTTCACATTTTTATGTGCATTAGTGATGTTAAAGTTGAGAATCAAAATTTAAAAAAAACGCTTCCGGATCCAGCAATTTTTTTTCATGATTTACATTGTCTGTATTTCATTGCATATTATCTTATTTTCTTTACTTTTCAATTATTAGAAATAAATTGTTCAAATAAGTTAAAACATTTTATTTAATGTGAAATTATCACAATAATTATATTTAAAAAAATGTTAGACTTGAAAGTGTACTGTTCTGACAACAGCCCTTCAAGACTGTTCTTTTTGGTTCTCTTGTTATCATTTCTTATTAATTTGTGTATATATATGTATAAACATATTCATACTCGTTCAGAAGGTGAGTCAAATATATAAATAAAGATGAAAACAATATATTTAGGTGTTTTAGATGGTATTTTAATGTGTTCGGTGGCGAAAAGACCTACCACAATTTTTATACGCAATAATACCACATCTTATTTTTATATTGGTAAAAAAATTAAATCTGAATCATTTCTTTAAATTACCTTTAAGGTCTAATATAGGTAAATGATAAGCTGTTTTTGTTAGTTTGCTGGTGTTTAAACACAACTTTCAACAAACTTGGCTATATCATGTATATCATAGTGGCAAGATTTTATTGACATAGGAATTGTGTACAAATTTCAACAATAGTGGAAAACAATTCAAAAGAGAAGACTAACTTTAGAGTAAATGCAAAGGTTCTGACAGTGTTTGAAAGATGTATGACCAGTAAAGCAAAGGACACTGGCTCAACAGTCAAAACCAGGAGACGCCTGACAAACCAGTAAAATGAGATTTAAACTAAATAATAATGATTGACAAAAAAGGAATGATTTGCATTGCCATTTACCAATTTGTAAACTTGGTTTATTTTCGAAGAGTCATTATCTTGTAATTTGAAATACAAACTTTATTTGTTGTGTTTTATTTTCCATTTTCCTTGTCTATGAATCTGATTTTTTTTAAAGATCAAATTTTTGCAAGGGAATATTTTCCAGATTTTATATATCCTAATTGTAAAATTAGCAAAAATTAAACCCTTTACTAACATTTTCCATTTTACACTACAGTACATGTACATGTACATTATTTAAGCTTTGTTCAAAGTTGAAATACATGAACTTGACTTACAAACGTACTATTCCATTTGTTTTTCAGGTTCTCAAATAGGGGAACAAAACAGAGTCAGAGAAGGAAGATAATTTGAAATACAAAAAATTTGTTTGAAAGGTTTTATTTTCCATTTTCCCTGTCTATGAATCTGATTTTTTTTAAAGATCAAATTTTTGCAAGGGAATATTTTCGAGATTTTATCCTAATTGTAAAATTAGCAAAAATTAAACCCTTTACCATGTTTACTAACATTTTACATTTTACACTACAGTACATGTACATTATTTAAGCTTTGTTCAAAGTTGAAATGCATGAACAGTGAGAACTTGACTGTACAGTATGGGCTTTGCTCATTGTTGAAGGCTGTACAGTGACCTATAGTTGTTAATTTCTGTGTCATTTGGTCTCTTGTGGAGAGTAGTCTCATTGGCAATCATACCACATCTTCTTTTTTACATTTACAAATGTACTATTCCATTTGTTTTTCAGGTTCTTGAATAGGGGAACAAAACGGAGTCAGAGAAGGGAGATAATTTTGTAATGACTATTGAAAATCAACAAAATATGACAACACAGCGTAAACCAGGTGCCCGACACACAGTGGAAGCAACAGATGCAGAATCATCGCAATCTTTTCCTCATATGATGTTCTCAACACACATTGATCAACCAGGACAACACAGTGAGGATGATAAACATGAAAAGCACAGTAAAGATGGACTCAAGGGAGACTATGGAAATATTTCTTTGTTAATGTTTCTATATATACTTCAAGGAATTCCCTTAGGATTAGCCGGGAGTATTCCAATGTTAATGACGAGTAGAAATGTCAGCTACAAAGACCAGGCTGTGTTCAGTTTTGTGTTCTGGCCTTTCAGCATTAAATTGTTATGGGCACCACTAGTGGATTCTTTATATTTTTCGTGGTTTGGACGTCGTAAGACATGGCTTGTGCCTATACAATACCTAATAGGTGTATTTATGTTGGTTTTATCTTGGAATGTTGATAAATTGTTAGGGACAGAAAATGGCGGAGGACATGTAAACATTGTTTATATAACTGTGATATTTTTTATGCTTAATGTTCTAGCAGCCACTCAGGATATAGCAGTCGATGGCTGGGCTCTAACCATGTTGGCAAGGTAATAAAGATGGACATATTATTTAATGTTCCTGAAAAGAAGCTGATACCGTAACTATTATCTCAAAAGAAAAAAAGACAATGTAACAGAAGGGACATCAATTGTCCAAATGCACAACTGGTGCAGTAAAATTAGAACCTTTATTGTTAATCTTATTGGTCATCAGTCCATTCATTAATAAGTATAAGACTGATTTAACAAATTGCATTTTTGTGTTATGTCAAAATGAATTTAGTAAAGTTGCATATTTGTAGAAAGTAATAAAATATAATCTTATTATTTCGGGAGAAATAAAATCAGGTCTGATTTAAATTACATGCATGTACATGTATGTTTAATAAAGTATTGTACACAGAAGGTATAGACTGAATAAAGCATTCTGCATTTATATATGAAGATACCTTTTCTTTTTCTATTTCAGGCGAAATGTGGGATGGGCCAGTACCTGTAATTCAGTAGGACAAACAGCTGGATATTTTTTAGGAAATGTTCTATTTTTAGCTCTAGAGTCAGCTGATTTCTGCAATAAATATCTCAGATCTGAACCTAAAGAAACTGGTTTAGTCACATTAGCAAGTAAGTCAAATGAATATCAGTCAGCTGAGTTATTTTATAAGTCACATAATGTGCTGACAATGATTTTTTTTAAAAAAGTCACAAAATGTTTATTAGATGGTCAGGTAACTCCTGATTTAAAGCTCTCTTTGTAAAGGGAGAGAAATCCTGTAAACAGGTTTTGATTAAAAAACCTGTGAAAAACTAGATACAAAAATATAGAAGTGTACTGCGAAATAAGATTCTACATACATATGTTGCCAAATTGTACAATACCAATAAATAATTATTACACAATACAATAACACTAGAAGATGCCAAGAATCACCCAAAATACTGGACAGTTCTATTGATAACATCAACCACCAACACATTTCATCTGCAAAAAAATATTGTCTTAACAAAAAGAAAACAGCAAACAACATATGGTCCAGATAGCCTGACTCAGTTGTGTATAGGAACAAAATGTAGTGGGATTAAATAAGTTTTACATGGACATGAAAATTCCACTTTGCCCACCTAGACCTTGCTGTAAAACTAAATCACACAATTAAAAAATCTGCATTATTTCCACATGGTACAGTGGTAATTTTGGAAAAAAATCATTCTCTTCAGTTACAGTATGTTAATTTACAATCAATTTTATATTATGTCACATATGTTAATTTTACATTGCAAGAAACAAGAATGTATCATGATGAATATAATGATTATATTTAAAATTTCAGGTTTTTTATATTTCTGGGGCATTGTATTTTTTACCACAACAACATTAGTGTGGATCTTCAAGCATGAGTCTGATGATCCTGATGCAGATGGAGAGCAGGGTATCATTGATACATATAAACAACTCATTCGTGTGATACAACTTCCTGCAGTCATATCATACGCTGCCATCATACTCACGGCTAAGGTGAGATGTCGCTATTTAAGAATTTAATGCTTCCTTTTGTTATTTTATTGGGGTGTAAAGCACATTTTTGTATGGAGTGCGTAAAATCATCCTTTGTAGAATATATACTGCACTCACAAGCTCATGCAATTTAAAAACCCACTCACCAATGTTCATGTAGTAACTGTATATTATTATTCTGCAGTAGGTTTTGGGTCTTTTTATACGACCGCAAAAATAAAAAATTTTTATACGACCGCAAAAATTAAAAATTTTTTGGTCGTATATTGGTATCGCATTGTTGTCGTCATCAGCGTCATCCAAAGACAGATGGTTTCCGGATAATAACTTTAGTAAAGGTAAATAGAAAACAATAAAATTTTAACACAAGGTTTATAACCACTAAAGAAAGGTTGGGATTGATTTTGGGGGTTATGGTCCCAACTGTTTAGGAATTAGGGGCCAAAACAGGGGCCCAAATAAGCATTTTTGTAGTTTCCAGACAATAACTTGTGTTAAAGTGTATGAATCTCTCTGAAATTATACCACAAACTTCCATACTACAAAGGGATGGTTAGGATTGACTTTGGGTGGTTATGGCTCAAACCATTTAGTAATTAGGGGCAAAAAAAGGGGAAAAACAAGGGTTTTTCTGGTTAAAGGACAATTGAGACAATTTAAAAGCAGTGTAAGGGAGGTAATCCAATTCAAATTAAAGAACACTGTTTGAGTACCTCCCTTACACTGCTTGTAAATTATATTAAGAAATGATGATTGTCTTGAGGTGATTTGCTGTCAATTTATTTTTAGCAGTTACTATTAATTAATATTAATTTTAGCCATGACTATGTATGTCGTTTTATATTTTAAAACTTTTATGATGTATTTAAATGGATAATTTTGGTTGCATTGAGGTGTAATACCACCAAATCATAGTACGTCACATCCGGTTGCATACGAAAATAGGTCGAAAAAAAATATTCCCTTGAATTTGACAGTTGTAGGTAATTGATCCTTCATTTCATTGCAGTAAAACATTTCTGAGTCATAAACATATATCTTGGGTATTTCAAAGCACCATTATTTCTTTATTTGGGGTTTCAATAGAATATTTTGGAAACTTGAGGTTACATGGTTACTAAAGCTTGTACACAGGTTAAAAAAGGGGGAAAATTTGATTGGTTAACTTCCAGTGATGGTTATTTTCTTATATGCAATGAAATGTTATGTGAAATTTTTTCTATAGTACTGGACAGGATAAAACTTTACTCATGCCAAGTATTTCTTTATTTGAAACAAAGATAAATTCTGCACAATTTTTTGAAAAGTGCAAATTTAACAAAGACTAATAGGGGAAAATCAATGGTGGTATTACACCTAATATGGGAAGCTGTACATGCACCTTTGACCTTGTGAGTACTCTCATGTGTTAAAATTTCTTGCTATTTAAGTGAAATATTACAAATAATGAAATATTCTGAGTGGATTGAGTCTCCAAAATACATTTTATGAGAAAATTTCCTTGAAATAGGACTTTACCATGAATATTAGTTGACAGAACAAGCCATACTTAGAGTCTTGGGGAGCTTTTTCTCCTTATTTCTTATATTCTGCTATACTAGAAAATTTTTCCTAAGAAATACTTTAATAGATATATAGTTTTAAGTAAATGAAATTATTTTTAAAGCAATAACAACAAATTATTCACCAAAAGAGAAGTTTTTTATGTCCCTCTCTGGAACGCGGCGTAAATTTAAGTTTTACGCAAGGACTTATTGAAACCTCCTTGGAGACAGTAAACTTTTATACGGATAGTTCAAGCAGCTTGAATACTTCAATTAATCATTTATAATAACATTCCTATCATAAATGAGTGAAAGTTACCCCAAAATTTTTATTTATTGGCTTAAAAAGTAGAAATTTTGAGGAAATGAGAGGTATAAATGGACCAAAAGAGACTTTATAAGGAAGAATAAGAGGTCCATTAGTAGTATTTATCATCCTAAAGTCATCTTTTGTATCATATTCAACTGTTTGTAGGCAGATGAGATAAATATTTGATCATTTATTGGTCCACACTATATTCTATCATGATGCGGCTTGGTTTGAATTTTTCGAAGAAATTTTGCTCGAATCGCTGTAGATGTCGTCTTACATTATACTAGATTTTTCTCAAACTATTGAACTGATTATGACAAAACTTGACAGGAATGCTTGAAATAACCAGTATTACAAAGGAAAAAAGTCACATTCAGTTTATTCAACAAAAAAGTCTTCTTTAGGTGTAATACCACCAAATCATAGTACGTCACATCCGGTTGCATACGAAAATAGGTAGAAAAAAAATATTCCCTTGAATTTGACAGTTGTAGGTAATTGATCCTTCATTTCATTGCAGTAAAACATTTCTGAGTCATAAACATATATCTTGGGTATTTCAAAGCACCATTATTTCTTTATTTGGGGTTTCAATAGAATATTTTGGAAACTTGAGGTTACATGGTTACTAAAGCTTGTACACAGGTTAAAAAAGGGGGAAAATTTGATTGGTTAACTTCCAGTGATGGTTATTTTCTTATATGCAATGAAATGTTATGTGAAATTTTTTCTATAGTACTGGACAGGATAAAACTTTACTCATGCCAAGTATTTCTTTATTTGAAACAAAGATAAATTCTTCACAATTTTTTGAAAAGTGCAAATTTAACAAAGACTAATAGGGGAAAATCAATGGTGGTATTACACCTTGAGAAACTGACCATATCTTGAGGGAAAGAATTTTTTTGGGGAATAAGGGAAAGGGGGGAGGTGAAAAAAATTGGAGGAGGGACAATTTTTCTCATTTCAGATTTCAGAAAATTGGTAAGGGGGGGGGGGGGGGGGGCAGTCAATTCGCAACAGCATAGTGTATTGCACAAAAGCAATAAATTGAATATAAATTCAAATCATATAACCAATTTGAAGTTCTTTGACTACAGTTATTCTGTGTCAGAAACCTATTATGTGTCAAAAATTTAGTTACAATCCAAATTCAGACCTGTATCATGGGTGAATATTGTGTCCATTTTGGCCCAACTTTTCAGGGTTGGACATCTGCGGTCGTATCCAGCTGCGCTCAGCGAAGCAATTTATTTTAGATGATGATGATGATGATGGATGGCTGCTTGACGTACAGCGGCAAATTAATATGCATATTCAGGACGAGATCATATTTGTGTCATATGAATATAAACCCTGTTTTGTACTTAACCGACAAGCTGAGCCTGATTTTTTACGTGCTAGTTCACAAGTTAACAGTCCGTAGGAAGACATACTACCTAACCCGGACACTTTATTCCGACTCCAAACCGACCACTCTTTAGTCTTGCTCCTTAATGCAGCGTGCTTAGCGGAGAAGCAGCAAATACCAGTTTTAAAGTCTTTGGTTTGACCTAGCTAGGGTTCAAACCCACAACCTCCTGCACTCGAGGCAAACATGCTACCATGAGACCACTGAGGCAGTCTTTTTTTTTTTAGAAGAAATGTGATAATTTATGTATTTTAAACTTTTTTTTTAAGCAAAACGTTCTTGTTTACTACAAGATGAGGGTGCATAATTTATTTGTTCCTTAATAAAATTGAAATGAAGAAAACCAGTTTATTTCATATTTACTAGTAAAAGATGTAATAAATGTAAGTTGGCAAAGAAGAGAAATTAGTGAAAACAAATTAATAAGATGTTTTATAATGCTATAGAGTGATTTTCAAACAAAGTTTAGATCTATAATATGGCATTTATTTAGAATAAATGTATTTTTTACTTTCATAATGTTATTTGCAAAAGATAAAAAGGTTGAACTTTTGTTATTTTTTTTAATGATTTTTATACGCCCGTCAAATTTTTGACGGGACGTATTATGGTATACAAATGTCCAGCGTCCGTCCGTCTGTCTGTCTGTCCGGCGTAAACATGTCGCACCGTAACTTGAGAATGACATAGTTGTTTCTTATGATGGTCAAACGATCTGTATACTTTTTAGTGATAATAAGATTAAAACTTTTTGAGTTACGGGACTTAGTAACTAAAACAGGTGTGTGTTTTTTTCACATGTCGCGCCGTATCTCAAAAACAATTTATGATTATTGCTTAAAACTTTTTGGTGATGATTCAAAATTTTATTTTAGAGATATTGAGTATTTTGTTAAAAAAGGGGGAGGGGTTTTTCACATGTCGCGCCGTATCTCAAAAACAGTTTATGACTATTGCTTAAAACTTTACACACTTCTTAGTTATATTAACCTTAAGATCTGTATACTTTTTGGTGATGATTCAAAATTTTATTTTTGAGTTCTTGAGTATTTTGTAAAAAAAGGGGGAGGTGTTTTTCACATGTCGCGCCATATCTCAAAAACGATTTATGATTATTGCTTAAAATTTTACACACTTCTTAGTTATATTAATCTAAAGATCTGTTTACTTTTTGGTTTTGATTCAAAATTTTATTTTAGAGATATTGAGTTTTTTGAGAAAAAAAAAAGGGGGGGGTTTTTGCATGTCACGCCGTATGTCAGAAACTATTTATGCTTATTGCATAAAAATTCACACACAAGACGAAGGGGTGTATCATGCGCTCATGGCGCAGCTGTTTATTATCTTTTATATCGTGATGAGAATTTCAGATTGTTGATTTTCCCTTTCTGTGTGTGATTTTCTTATCATTAATATTCTTCTCTGTGTTGGATTTTGTGAATGTTAATTTTCTATTTATAGCTATATTTTCTGATGGTAAATTTTCTGTTTCCAGGTTGGATTTTCTGCTGCAGATTCATTAACTGGGCTGAAGCTGATAGAATCTGGTATGCAGAAACAGACTCTAGCCCTGTTTGCTATACCTATGATTCCAATACAGATAGTATTACCACTAATAATTAGCAAGTTTACAGCTGGTCCTAAACCAATGGACGTATTCCTCAGGGCTATGCCATTTAGGTATGTAGTATATAATAGCGTGTCCCATACCAATAGACATATTACTCAATATCATGAAATTTAAATATTAAAGTATTAATTCATTCTAGTCCCTGAAGCCAATTGATATGCATGTATTTCTTAGGGCCATGCTGTTAAGGTATGTAATATTACATCTGGTCTAAATCAATAAATTTTTTTCTCAGGGCCATGGGTATTTTTATTAGTATTACACAATGCTACCCATAACCAGATTCTAACATGACATGAAAACAATGACAGTGCAATTGACGGAGCAGGAATGATTTAACCTTCAGGAGTACTTGGAGTGCATATAAGGTTTTTCTTGTGGGTATGAGTGAAAGAGACAACTAAAGTAACTTGACGGCCTTCAACAATGAGCAAAACCCATATATCATAGCCTTCATAGGAAGACATTTATGGTGTAAAGAAACTTATAATTTTATACTTCTTTTTCTATTATTTATGTAAGATCCATCTGAAGCAAAGAGATACTTTGGTAAATGAAAATTTTAGATTTTCACATTGTTGTATGGTTGCTTCTGTACTATACCTTTATTGTATAGTTTCTATGGTAATTGCACATGGTCTTTTATGATAGATGCTGAGGTTACCTTAATGGGATGCTTCTAGTGCAGTTGTTACTGTAATTTGATATTTTTGTTTTGCAGGTTAATGCTAGGGTTACTGTATGCTTTCATTGTATGGCTGTCATCACAAGTGCAAGAGACAAAAGGGAATTTCCCAACTTATTTGTATGCCCTCATATTGTGCAGTTATGCAATTCATCAAGTAAGTATCTAAGTCTTATAAGATTAATTTTGTTGAGGAATTGACAGAAAAAATATTACAGTCATTCCTTATAATTTAATTCTAAATTCCATTTTTATGGCGTAAATCATGAAAAAAAGTTGATGACATTACAGTCACATGACAAAATTATGTCATTATTAGACAGAAAATTTTCATCCAATCAGAAGATGTGTTACATCTAAAATAAAATTATTTAATAATAATAGTAAAACAAGAAAACAACAAAATCACTCTTGTATGTGATTTCAGTTGAATCACTCTGAATTAAAGATTTTTTTAAGTAAGATTATGAGGTATGTTAATGTCCTAGGTGGGTTTCCATAGCTTCATTTGAACTATTTTCAAGGTTGTACCATACAGTACATTTTTGTCTCAAATAACCATAAAGCATATTTATATTATGAAATTTTTATTTATCATACAAGTATTATTATATTTAGGTAGCATTATACAGTATGTTTGTGTCCCAGATGGCTTTCCATGCCAAAATAAGTGACCCTGCTATAGGAGGAACTTACATGACTCTGTTAAACACATTGGCAAACCTTGGTAAGTTCTAAGTAACTGTTTTGTACAATGGCAAACTATGTGTACTAAGCTGTTTCTAGTTAACATAGAAAGTTCTCTTTGTTTTCTGGTGATCATTGTCACATAAAACCACTACGTCAATAAAACCAAAGCATTATAAACAGGGTTTAAGCTAGGATTTTGAGGGCTTTAGTCACTTTTGCGTGGGATGAAAATCAACCTTTTTTTGGGTAGCAGCAAGGGACCTAGGATGTATATTACTTTGTCAGACTTTGTCTTTGAAGGACTTTAATAGGCATACTAGGCAGTTACTGCATGATTTGACTGATGTGGCACTTTAATACGAAAGATTAGGATATAAGATCTAGAAATCTAGTTCACAATTTCACATCAGTTAGTTTCAGGGTACATTCCTAATCAGCAAAAGTTGGGATCCATTTTTTTTTAAACCAGGATTCACAGCAGAAATGAACTTGTAAGGACTATTTCACTGCATTATTCATACTCATTATCCTTAAAAACGTTTTAAAGCGATATTTAGAATGAATTTTTATGAAGTTGGAACCAAGAATTTGTACAAATCCTTATTGGAACAATTCTAATGACTTTAAATTGTAAATTTATCATGAATAGTCATGTTTACTTTCGATTTCCAAATGAAATGAAAACGGGAAGTGACAAGTTGATAATAAATTCAGAATGAATCCGGATTCATCTACGGATTGGTTCGTGTTTAAAAAAGGCAGGAAATTATCATTTTTTAAATTAAATTTGCTACATAAGAACTATATTTGTCTCTCTCGTTTAGTTTGATACTTAATTATTTCGTATTTTACGTTTTAGTATCTTTAAATTCATATGAATACTTTCGCGCAAGCGCAGTTCCTAGTAAAAGAAGTACCTGTTTGACTTGTGAAAACATTTCTGAATGTTATGAATAAAGTTCTATCTTTTTAATCGAATTTATCGAAAGTTTTTGATTAAAAGTTATATCAAATATGACGAAAATACGTTCATTTGACGAAACTACGACAAGCGAACTGCAAATTGTGATCGTTTGAGAAATATTGAAATTAAAATGCGAACTGTCCGAGGGAATACTCAAATGTTGAAATGACGAAACTACGACAAACGAACTGCAAATTGTGCTCGTTTGATAAATATTGAAATTGAAATGCCGACTGACTGATTTTACTGGGGAAAATAATTATATTGATGATCAATTTTGAGGTTGATAAATGATTAACGGATTATAATTAGTGACCCATCCGATGGCGATAAGCGGATTATCTGTAATCACAACTTTTAACACCTGTTGAAAATGTTAATTAGCTGAGGGTCATAAACTTGTCAGAAACAATAAGACAGGTAGAATTATAGTATTTTCATGCGAAAATATTTTTACTCTTTCCAAATTTAAGTGACGAAATTGATTTGGAATACTTTCGTCATTTTGAAAACCGTTTCGTAAATGACGAAAATGACGAGCGCTAGCAAAATCACTGATTATAAACAGTTCTGTGTGGTACCCCTTAGGTCACATTTAAAATTTGCCTCAGGTCACAAACTCACTTTGAAGCAAATGAAAGAATTTGAAAATTTTTAAAGGTCACAGGTCCTTTTAAATGAGACACCACTATTTTAGATTTCAGAACAGAAATGTGATTCACAAATGTTTGTAATGGCACTGAAAATCCGTAAATTTATACTTTGCCTTACAGTATTTTGTTTTAACCAAAAATCCTCTAAAAGAAGATGTTTTTTACAGTAATTTCAGAAATTATTGCTAATAATGTGACTGGATGTGAATCGCAATAATAAGAACTCGCATCATGATATCTGAAGTATATATCTTTATGTAGCTTTTCCTAAAATCGCAATAATTAAACTCACATTTTTGTTCATTCATCAAATATCGCAATAATAAATGCACACAATAATTTCTGAATTTACAATAACATACATGTTACAGGATTAAACAGCAGTCATTCACATGACATTTATCTAATTCATTATAGGTGGGAATTGGCCAGCTACAGTAGCATTGTGGTTAGTAGAAGGACTAACATGGAAGTCCTGTAATGGAGGTCCTGGTCAGTGTTCTTCTACGGCTGAGTCTGAGGTAAGTAGCATGTAATATGTTTTGTGAAATGTTTATTCCTCGTTCCATTCCTCGGCCTGTTATTTGAACACTATTCTAAGCTGGAAGAATCTGTTTGACCCCGATATATACATTAATTTCTAGTTTTACCTGTGTTATTAAAGATGAAAACAGCTCTAGTAACCACATTGTCAGTCTGTCCTAAAGACCTTGGGTAGAAAACTTTCGATGAAATGAAAGTTTTCTTGGCTCCTATTGAAGGGAATAATTTTATTTTTGGCATGCAGCTTGATAATACTGAGCTTGAGTGGTAGTGAGTAACCAATTTTAGATTCAATGTGCAGCCACTTCCTGTTTGTTTATAATTTAAAATTTTACAAGCTCAATTGTACAAGGAAAATTTTCAGTAAAGTTTTCTTGGCTTCAGTAAAAGGGAATGATCAGTTATGCTCCAGTTCATGTTACCTCAATCAATTGCAGGCAGTGACGTAGGTCCAGACCCAATATTGGTCTTGTTAGTTTTAAACTGCAGTCAGAGAAAGCATTGAAATTGTGAGAGAGATATAGGTTCTTTGATTTCTATATGTAGGATCGTATATTTGCCCGATGAAGCTATGAAATAAAGGTTGTATGAATTTCTATTTTTAGGCTTGTACATCAGCAGGAGGCACTTGTCAAACAGAGATAGATGGATATTATATAGAATCATTCTTGTGTGTAGTGATTGGTATTTTCTGGTATTTATGGCGACAAAAAAGAGTACGGCAGTTAGACAGACTACCATTAGATGCATGGAAATGTTCCTAGTATAGAGACATTATTAGGATTGAATGAAACTTTGACTTGATTGTATGGAATAAGTCAGTTATGTATGAAGCATTTAGAAAAGTTAACATAAATTAAAACTAAATATATCATGTATATTCGGGCAATTTAAGAATTATTTGAGGGGGGTGGGGATTGGAAGGCACCTCATATTAATTAAATAATTTTTCACACATTAATGCATCAAATTTCTAAGGGCTATTCCATTAAAATGTATGTGGGAGGGTAGGAAGGGACTTTCCAAATATCCCTACAAGCAAGAACCATTTTTTAGATAATTTTGCGTAATGGTAATAGTTGCATACTGAAAAAAGACCCATGACCCACATTCAATAATTAAACTTCCCTTCCTAACCTCCCACATACATTTTAATGGAATAGCCCTAATTAAAATTGTATAGGTGGGGGTCTTGGGGTGAAAAAAGTGCCTTCCAACTTGCCCAAACATTTTATTTTTGTAGTAGCCCTAAGTTGTACAGACCTTAGGGAAGATCAACTAAGAAATTCCAATGCAAAATTTTATTTTAATTAAATATCAAATGTGAATGTTTTATGGGTAAAAAAAGTACAAATAACCAAATATATAAAAAGCTTTCTTCTTACTACTGTTAAATTGTGAAATCCTGAAAATTAAAAGCATTTATGATTGAGATTTGAAAATTTAATGAAAATTTCCGCTGTACAAAATTATCTAATTTTCAATATTACCTCTAAAATTTAATTTCAATCTATAAACTCAATTAAAATTTGGATAACATCATTGAATGCAAATAGGAGGAGGGGGGAACTAGCAAAAAATATTCATATGTTAGTTATTTAATACAACAATATAAGTAGTACTTTTACAGTGTGAAAACCAGAAAGCATTGAATTCACAAGTAAGATGTGTCAGAATTTTCATAGAACAAATGTCTGTATAGATGATGCTTAAGAGTCTAGATAGTTCTAATAGAGAACAGTTTAAATTACATTTTGCTTTTCAGTTCGAAGAAATCATATTTCATGATATTATTTATTAAAAACTCTATAAACATAATCAGGAATACTATTAAATTTTATGAAATTTCTTAGAAAAGCGTACATGATTGTACGTCCTATAAATTTTTTTAGTCAGTTAATGGACATCCTATATTTCTTTCTCCCAGTAGTAGTAATAGATGTTATCAATATTTTATAATTAATATCATTGTTTTGTTACAATTTGTTTGTTTTTTTAGTCTATGGTGAAATTGTTCTATTTAGTAATGAGTTTCACAGATTTTTAGAAACTTATTTGTTAAATTTGTTGTGAAGTTGTTCCATTTACTAATGAAGTTTGGGATTTTTTTTGGATTATTTTGGTATCCTCCATTAATTAATAATTACATTGCATGTATGTTTCACGAGAATCAGTTAGTTTGATTGGTTAACAACAATAGTGCATCATTCAAAAATTAACCTTCATATCAAAATGAAATGTTACATTCGTGATGACACATGCTTCCACAGAAAAAGGGCACAGGTAAATAAAAGAAAAACTTGATACAATTTTTTTTGCATGGTCTTAGGATAAAAATGTAATTATAAGAAATGAATGCTTCTTTTAGTAATTTGATAGGGTTGTAAAAGTGTTGATCGTGCACACATTTTTAGAATGAAGCACTTCCGTGCATACAAAATGTGCTTCATTCAACACTTTCACACCCCAATAAAATTAAAAAAAGAAGCATTCATTTCTTAAATGAATTTTAGGATAATTTTGGTATATTTGGTATCCGTATTAAGATCACAATCACCCAAGGATGAAGAACAGCAATTAAAGTGCTGTTTTTTCTGCCTTATATAAAAAAGAAGATGTGGTATGATTGCCAATGAGACAACTCTCCACAAGAGACCAAATGACACAGAAATTAACAACTACAGGTCACCGTAAGGCCTTCAACAATGAGCAAAGCCCATACCGCACAGTCAGCTATAAAAGGCCCCGAAATGACAATGTAAAACAATTCAAACGAGAAAACTAACGGCCTAATTTATGTACAAAAAATTAACAAATAACAAATATGTAACACATAAACAAACGACAACCACTGAATTACAGGCTCCTGACTTGGGACAGGCGCATACATACAGAATGTGGTGGGGTTAAACATGTTAGCGGGATCCCAACCCTCCCCCTAACCTAGGACAGTGGTGTAACAGTACAACATAAGAACGAACTATAAAAATCAGTTGAAAGAGGCTTAACTCATCAGATGGATAAAAATACAAATACTACAAATACAAGTGGACGTGGCCGGGTACTTGTACATAGTTTTGCCAAGTGTGTGTTGGGATTTGTGTCATGAAGTTATACACCATATCCCTTTTTGCATTAGAAAGCAAAAATCTCTATAAAGCTTGAGTAAGTTTAATAATATGATTAAAAATCTTTTTAAAGTTGATTAATTCATCTGTTGTATATTTTCATGATTATTTAAAACTACATTCCTTGCATATTACTGTAAAGTTTTATTTTTCACAGAGTTCAAATTTTCGTAATTTCTGGGGCTAAAGTATTTCATGAGGTTATATTTTCCCATGTTTTTTTTCCTGTGGGAATGTAATTTTGCGATTTTCATAATTGTGAAATTAGCAAATATTTTTCCGCTTTATATTATAGAAGTAAATGGACCAAACACAATATGAACTGTACTAAGAACTAGAATAATTTCTAGACAGGGATCGTTGGGGCAATACATTTTTTTCCATACATTTATATTGTTTTTATTATTTATCTATTGTTTTTGTATTCTTGTTTATATAAATTATCACACATAAATCAATTGAATCGTATTCGTTTTTAACTTAGCTTAGGATCCTTGCTCACTGCTCAACAGAACATCATAACTAGGTTGGCTTGACGGAAGAAAATTGAATTTTTGGATGGTATCAAATCTTACAGAAGGTCATCAATATTTAGCTTAATTTTTATACACTGCAAAAAAAATTTGGGATCGTATAATGCTATCAAGTTGTCGTCTGCGTCTCCTTCCGAAGACATTTGGTTTCCAGACAATAACTTAAGTTTAGGTGTATGAATCTCTTTGAAATTTAAGCAAAAGGTTCAATACCACAAAAGGAAGGTTGGGATTGTTTTTGGGGGTGATGGTCCTACCCGTTTAGGAATAAGGGGCCAAAAAATGGGCCCAAATCAAGCATTTTTTCTATTTTCAGGACAATAACTTGTGTATTAGTATTTTGATTGCTCTGAAATTGTACCACAAGGTTCAATACCACAAGTCGAAGGTTGGGATTCATTTTGGGGGTAATTGCCCAAACCGTTCAGGAATTAGGGGCCAAAAAGGGTTTAAAACAAGCATTTTTGTCGAGCCTTCGACTTTTGTCGAAAAAGCGAGACATAGCGATCCTACATTCCGTCGGCGTCGTCGGCGGCGTCCACAAATATTCACTCTGTGGTTAAAGTTTTTCAAATTTTAATAACTTTCTTAAACTATCCTGGATTTCTACCAAACTTGGACAGAAGCTTGTTTATGATCATAAGATAATATTCAAAAGTAAATTTTGTAAAAAAAAAATTCCATTTTTTCCGTATTTTACTTTTAAATGGACTTAGTTTTTCTGCCAAGAAACATTACATTCACTCTGTGGTTAAAGTTTTTGAAATTTTAATAACTTTCTTAAACTATCCTAGATTTCTACCAAACTTGGAAAGAAGCTTATTTATGATCAAAAGATAGTATCCAGAAGTAAATTTTGTAAAAAACAATTTTCATTTTTTCCGTATTTTACTTATAAATGGACTTAGTTTTTCTGCCATGAAACATTACATTCACTCTGTGGTTAAAGTTTTTGAAATTTTAATAACTTTCTTAAACTATCCTGGATTTCTACCAAACTTGGAAAGAAGCTTGTTTATGATCAAAAGATAGTATCCAGAAGTAAATTTTGTAAAAAAGTAAAAAAAAAAAATCCATTTTTTCCGTATTTTACTTATAAATGGACTTAGTTTTTCTTCCAGTTAACATTACATACAGTCTGCACTTTAAGTTTTTAAAACATTTATTAGATTCATAAACTATCCTGGATTTTTACCAAACTTGGACAGAAGCTACTTACAATCAAAAGATAGTATAGAGAGGAATATTATAATTAATTTTTTTCCTCATTTTTGTTGAGCCTGCGATTAACAACAAAAGTAGGCGAGACACTGGGTTCCGCGGAACCCTTACGAATTTTTCTAGTTTCCGGACAATAACTCGAGTTTAAGTGTATTGATGTCTCTCATACAGTACCACATTTTACAAAAAGAAAATTTTCTTAAAAGGTTATTTTTGTTGGAAAAGGGGGGGGGGGGGAGGTTAAAAAAAATTGTTTTTTTTTTGGGGGGGGGGGGGGCAATTTTTTTTCTGCAAGATTTAAGAAATTGTAAATTTTCCAAAGAAAAATTGGGGGTCACAATTGCTAATTCTTTGTATATTGTCTGAAAACAGATTTACTAAGTAATGCGCAACAGCACAATGCACAGTGTATTGCACAAAAGCAAGAAATCTTCAATTGAATATAAATTCAAATCACATAACCAATTTTAAGTTCTTTGACTACATTTATTCTGTGTCAGAAACCTATAATGTGTCAAATATTTAATTACAATCCAAATTCAGACCTGTATCAAGCTTGAATATTGTGTCCATTTTTGCGCCAACTGTTCAGGGTTGGACCTCTGCCGTCGTATCCAGCTGCTCTCGGCGGAGCTTTTATTTTTGCAAAACCTATCCAGTTGCAATTTTTGCAGTAAGAAAAGCATCTCACATATTATTTATAAATATTCGGTAAATACTAATTTGTAATAGGCTTGTATGCATAATTTTTTAAAACCAGGAAATTAAATATGCAGGGAAATATCATTTTTGCTTCAGAAATAATTACCCCCAAAAAGCAGGGCATCCACAGTACCATAATATAAGAATTTAAAAATCTTCACATAACTTAACCTTATTGTTGTGTATTGTAAAACTTGTGTAAGTTATCTATGAATTTGATAGATTTATTTTTTATTGTTAAAACAATTTGCATAGGGTGATGTCTTTGAGGGGAATTATTTTGGGTCAGGACATTCTTACTCTAACAGTTAAACTTAAATCTGATTCTTCACTGTTTAAAGTAGTATTTTTTTTGTTTTCATTGGGGAGGAGTTTGTGTATGTATTGAAACTTCAGTTCTATAAGTAGTGAAAGTTGTTTATGTGAATACCCCACCTAGACTTGTCCACATAGATCAGAGAGATTTGGTCAGGATCACTAGATGTGCTTATTTTGAGGGATAAATAAGTTTATGAAATAGCAATTTTTTAATAAATATTCCCCAATTTTCTCTGGATAAAATATTGGTAGTTTTTGATAAATAATCAAATATGTGTGTGACAATCAATGTAAGGAATATAGACTAATAAATAGAAACAAAGGACCAATTAAGTGAAATGTCAAGTTTTAGAAATGTCTGAAGGTAGGTGTTTTTTTTTTCCTAGCCATGCCAAGCATACAATTTTTATTGACTGTTTCCTACAATGTTTAGGCTATTTTTCTTGAAAAACCACATCACCATCAAATTTTAATAAAAGTGCCCCCCCCCCCCCCCCCCCCCCTCCTTACATTATTGCCGGAACAGTCCTTAGTAATTTTCCTTTTGAACTCACAACTCACATCATCATCTTTGTCTAAGACTTGTTTACACCTACATAGTAAAAGGAGATTATTATTGGTTGATGCAATCAGTTTGAATGCCTTATAAAAGCAAGTTTGTTAAATAAAATTTATATTATTTTTATACGACCGCAAATTTTGCGGTCGTATATTGGTATGACGTTGGCGTCGTCGTCGTCCGAAGACACATTGGTTTTCGCACTCTAACTTTAGTTTAAGTGAATGGATCTCTATGAAATTTTACCATAAGGTTCAATACCACAAAATGAACATGGGGATTGATTTTGGGGGTAATTGCCTCCAAATTTTAGGAATTAGGCCAAAAAGGGGCCAAAAATAAGCATTTTTCTAGTTTCATGTCAATAACTTGTGTGTAAGTGTATGGATCTTTATGAAATTGTACTACAAGGTTCGATATCACAAAGGGAAAGCTGGAATTGAGTTTGGGGGTAATTGCCCAAAATGTTTAGGAATAAGGGGCCCAAAAGGGGCCAAAAATAAGCATTTTTCTAGTTTCCAGACAATAACTTGTGTTCAAGTGTATGGATCTCTCTGAAATTGTACTGCAAGGTACCATACCACAAAGGGAAGTCTGAGATTGATTTTGGGGGTAATTTCCTCAAAATTTTAGGAATTGGGGGCCATAAAAGGGCAAAAAGACAAGCATTTTTCTAGTTTCAGGACAATAACTTGTGTGTAAGTGTATGGATCTTTATGAAATTGTACTACAAGGTTCCATATCACAAATGAAAAGCTGGGTTTGAGTTTGGGGGTAATTGCCCTAAATGTTTAGGAATTTGGGGCCAAAAAACAAGCATTTTTCTAGTTTCCAGACAATAACTTGTGTTCAAGTGTATGGATCTCTCTGAAATTGTACTGCAAGGTACCATACCACAAAGGGAAGGCTGGGATTGAGTTTGGGGGTGATGAATCATAAGGGGGTTCAAAAAATTTGGGGGGGGGGATTTTTTTTTCCCTTTTTTTTCGTTAAAATTTTCCATTTTAAATTGGTTATTTCTGATTTATATATAAAAGCAAATAATAATGATTAGGTTTGAATAGGTAAATTAAAATTTTTTAAGTTCTTAGACCACATTCATTCTGTGTCAGAAACCTATGCTGTGTCAAATATTTAATTACAATCCAAATTCAGTGCTGTATCAAGCTTGAATGTTGTGTCCATACTTGCCCCAACTGTTCAGGGTTCGACCTCTGCGGTCGTATCAAGCTGCGCCCCAGCGGAGCATTTTATTAATATCTGACAGACATTTTGTCAACTTTTGAAGAAGGCTATCTGATTGATCAATAATACTTTATTTTTATAATGAAGTGACCGTTGCATTCCTTTTTGAAGACAGTCTGTTTAACAAAATTTTTGTTTATCAAATATCAAGCCGTTAGTTTTCCATTGAATTGTTTTACATTTTTCATAATTGGGCCTTTTATAGCTTATTTTGTGATATGAGTTTTGCCCATTGTTAAAGGGCATATGGTAATCTATAGTTGTTAACTTCTACATCATTTGGTCTCAGGTGGAGAGTTTTCTCATACAATCATACCACATCTTCTTAAAGTGCATCTGCATTTCTATTTTCTTGCATTTTCTATCTTAGGATTATTTAAAAGCAACAAATCATATGTCAGTCTTAGACTTTATCCTAATCCACAGTGAACACTCGTCCTAAGCAGCCTAGTGGAGTGATCAGAAGCATTAGCTAGCTTATATACTAAGGAGTGGGTAAGCCTATTTATAGTTTATCTTCATAACTCTGTGTGCAATCTTTTTTTTGTTTGTAAAAACAATTTGAACTTGTTGATATCTTGAGTTAACAGTATAATAAGTCTAGCTTTCATTGGAGGTCAATACCAGGGTATATCAACCAACAGGCATATATCAAGCTTGACCTTCATCCTTGCTGGGTATTGTCTGTTGGGTGGATATAACCTTGTATTGACCTTATACAAAAGCCAAGTGTATGATATACATAAGTCAACCCTGAAACCTCTACTGACAGGTGGAAAAAGTAAAATCAGCCAAAGCTGTAACTAGCAAGTTTGTTTTTTCCTTTTTTTTCTTAAGTGTGTTTCTTATGAACTTAAATTCGAAAGGGCACATTGAAGGCAGCTTTTTCAGGTCATTTTTTAAATGTCATAGATATGTCTAATGTTTCTGGACTTTCTTTAGTTTTATACTTATTTACATTAAAACTAGTCTGTATGTAAAACATAAATCTATATCGACTGACTGAAACAGCATCTTACTGTGAATAGATTCCAGTAATTTAACGTGTAAAGCAAATTTTTGTTCTTTCAATAGTTCAATATAGACATGTTTTCATAAAATACAAATCAATTATGTTCTCTTAGATGTGTTCTTCTAAGAAGTACATCTGTACTTTAATATTAAACTGTTAAGAATTGAATATTGTTGAATTGTTATTTTTTTTTAAAAAACTTTCAAACCTTCCATGTCGACTTCTTCGTTTTAAATTATGTAAAAGTTATTTATGTACAGAAAAACCTGCTATAAATGTCACCTCTTTTAAGCTGTTTTCCGGTCACTGGCTTCTTGTCCCCATGTAGTCATACCTGTTC